ATCTAACTTACAAACGGTAAGCTCACAATTTTTAAAGTGGTTCCAAATAGCGTGAGTGCATGTATAGTGTACAGATATGCGCTGGATCTATGAATAAGCTTCTTTTATAAGCAACGTAAAATTAATCTAACTTACTATCTAATCTACTAAATGGTTAGTGTACAATCTTTGAAGTGGTACCAAATAGCGTGAGTGCATGTATAGTGTACAAATATACGGTGGATCTATGAGTTGCCTTATTTTATTAGCAACGCAAAATTAATGTAATATGCAAGCGGTTAGTCCTGAAGTGGCTATTAAAAAGCCGATTTAAAAAATAAAAATAAAGAAAAAATTTAAAAAAAAAAAAAAATCTTAAAAAATGGGTAATCAAAAAGCCGCTTTTTATTTTCTTTTTTTTACCTTTTTCTATTAACTTAATCAAAAGCGGAACTTTCGGTGCAAATGTGTTTTAATTACTAGGTCATTAATTAAAAGGGGCATTTATTTGCTAAAATAATTTGATTTTGTAAAGTAATGACTCTATTTTTAATTTTTTAAACTTCAGGTAACTATTTATTAAATTCGATTTATTTTTGCACAGTGAAAATTTAGGAAAAGTTATTGCTTTATTGCATTTTAAGTTTTTATTCAAAATAATTGGTAACCTATAGAATTTATTATTTTTCAAATGCCAAATTTCAAAATTTTTCAATGTTTTGTTTTCAAGCAACAAGACTTCTCTCACTTGAAAACTAATTCTGATTTGTCAAAGTAATAGCAGTAAATGACACTTAATTAATATTTTTCTGCTAAATAAATATTGAAAATAGGTCCAATATTATAGTTTCCTTTTATAACAGATTTTTACAGAGTTGGAATATCAGTTCAGCTTTTAATTTAAACTTTATGTTGCCTAACATGAATAAAATAAAGATAGTTACGTATGAGCAATCAATGAAAACATTATTATAATTCTTTATTTTATTTTTCCAATGAGCTGCACAATCGGTCTTGCCGATGAGCAGACCTAGTGCGTTCTCCAGAGGTGGTATCCACTCTTTCAGGACTACCACAATGGGTGAGATACCGTTGGTCATGTTAATTTGGACGTCTAGTTTCTGCCACACTAGATGGCAGCACCGAGACTCTATTTGGATACTAAAGTGCACTAGGAATTTAATTTTGCCGGAAATGCCAAGAGCCAATGACTAATGAGGCACTCAAGGGATCTTTTACATGCCGCATAATCATACGACATGGCCGCTGAGAATTTTCGCCGGTATCTCTGAGGATCCCGTTATTGGGGAGAAAAGACTAGAGGACAAAAGAAAGATAGTTACAAATCTTTTAAATCTTACGTAGCATTTAATATGAAAATAAATGTTTAAATTTTAATAAAAAAAAACTAAACCTTTGGACGAAAACAACTTTTAAAACAAAACATAATTCAAAAAATATTACGTCCAAATTAGTTTGTCTACCATTCAAAATGAAGGTGAAAGCTCAAATTTTCATTAAAAATAGAAAAAAAAAAAAAAAANAAAAAAAAAAAAAAAAAAAAAAAAAAAAAAAAAAAAACTACAAGATATTTTCAAAGTAATGCTTAGCACATTTTTTTTGTTTTTTGGCAAATTTATAAAAAAAAAAATTCTCGCTAGTCTTTTTCCCCCCACAATTTTTATTTCGGAGTTAAAAATCAAATGTATTATAGTAAAATAAAACAATTTTATCATTAATACTACAGCGAATAGAACGTAACTAGCTATACACAATGTTTCAATAATTTTCCCGACTTCTAAGATATTACAAAAAATGGAACAATTCTTAGATTCTTGCCCTAATAATTTATTTCTGCAGGTGGTGAATTAAAAAAGGAACCTAAGACGAAGCAATGCGACGTTTAGTCAAGTGTTTCATTTTGGGTGCATGTTGTTTGTTGGTGCAGTCCACCATCATAGAGGATAACTCAGATGGTGTAGAAGACCCACAAAATGCATTGCCATTTATTTTTCCAGGTAATTGAAATTTATTTGTTATACACTTTAAGACCATCATCAGTATACAGTGCTCAAAATATAAAAGCGGATCACCCAGAATAACTTTTGATCCAATGATCGGATCTTCACATTCCAGGTCTCGATCTTAATGACTGAAGGGGGTGCCCTTAGATATGCTAATTAATAAATGCTGACGACATTTTAAATTGCGAAATCAGTCACAAAAACGTACTTTCTCTGGACAAGCATACCTTTTCTTTGATGGATTCGGATTTCTGACCCCCAAAATATAGGAGGTGGCCGTAATCTGGGAAATATGGTCCTAATAGTTTGGTCAGGAGAGGGGTTCGATATTGACAATTATAAAGTTCGTTTATCCAAAGATAATTCAATGCATAAAATAACTTTCAGTAAATATTTATTATTATATTTATGAGTGGCCAAAAAGTTTTGAATTGTAAGATACACCATATTTTGCAACTTTTTAATTTTTTATAGCAAATTTCAAAATTTGAACGAAATCGGCCAAATAGTTTCTGAGAAATTGAATTTTTTTTTAAAAAGTCACATACTTAAAGTTCAATTTCTTGGGGAACTATTTGACCAATTTGGCTCAAATTTTGTATTTTGCTATGTAAAATTACATTCTTTAAAATTGTATAACAAGAAAACGAAAGAAGAAGAAAATGTGCAAATAATAACAAAACTTGTTTATCCCAAGATAATAGGCAACTAATCAAGTTTTCATTTTGTGGCGTAGCTCAGTTAACTGTTAACGGAATTTAAAGCCAAAACGTAAGTATTTTCCTCATAAAAAGTTCTCATCTTTGCTCTGAATATAAACAGAAACCGGTTCTCAAGGGTGCGAAAAGGTTTTGCCTTTCTCAAACACACACAAAGCCGAGTTTGTTACGCAATAGAATAGGTTGAGCCTTTCTCCTTACTTCCGAAATAACCTTACTTATGAGGCAAACATAAATATTCAAACTGAAACAGTTAAAACGTTCCTCTCGGTTCATGTTGCGTAATATATATAAAAAATTAAAAAAATAATGATAATAACAGATTTTTAAATCTAATAATGCTCAAAAAATTTTTGTATATAAATTAGACAAGTTTTAGCATAACAATAAAATAAAAAAATAAGTTAATGCTTGTGGAAATATAATGATATGCAACACTTTTAAACGCTTCATGAGAGGATTTTTGGTATTTAAAAAAAAAAAAAAAACACGATTCTATGCAGGTAGCAACACGTTTGGGTGTATTGTGATATTATTCAGTAGAAATTCCAGAAAATTAAGTAAGAATTTTGATATAACACTAAGGAACAATTTGATGCAAGAATGTCATCTTTGGATAAAATATAATTAATTCCTATACTGTTCTGTCAAGCCTTTCAATTCTTTATTTGGGTCAGGCTAACCGTGGGAGATTCTCGTAGTCCTCCTCTCCATGTAACGCAAATGCGTGTTAGTTCCATCAAAAAGTCCTTCACGAGGGCAAATTTCTCCCAATACTTGATCCAAGAGTTTCCTTGTCTTCTGGATTGGGTTTAAAATTACAAGGCTACGGAGTTGAACATTAGTAGTCGTAAACCCAAAAATGGGGTCTGCTGTTCAACGACGGTTATAAAATAAAATAAAATATGTTGCCTTAAGCACTTCTTATAACTGACAGATAACTCGGCTTTGTCAAACGTGTGATACACATCTTAGCAGCTAATTCCGTTGATGTTTTCTGTTCCTTTCAATTCTAGTTTAATTCTTACATCTAAATACAGATCAGTAAAAATTAGAAACTATTCCTTGTGAGTTAACCCTTTGCGAGCGCATTAATTTTATACATAGTTGCGATCAGAATGAATTTTTGTTGGAAGAACTATAGCATTAACAAAACATAAATAAATAGTTCATTTAAGAATAACACTTGCACTCAGTTTGTAAAATATTATGCTGAATTTTATTTATCTCCAAACCCTTCCACCAGCATGCATACTACTGACATGGTAAAAAGCTTCAGTTGAAAGCAGATATACAACCGCTAATACTAAGTTCTGAATACAGACCGTCCTGCAGTGGACTAATCGTAAAGACACGGTTTCCAGTAGAACACTGAAGTCAAGCATCACTGGCTGCGGTCAGTAAGCTGGTGAGCGACCACCACTTTAATCAGCCTAGGGATCGAGAGTGCGCGGTATTGGTCCTTGTTAAACTGTTCTACCGCAAAATGCTCGACTTCGCGAGCAGATAGTCGGGTTACCAAAGCAGGGGAGCCATCTTCTCTGCAGAGGATCAAAATTGCGATAGCATGTTTTCGTATCATCCTCAGGGATGTTTCCCAGACAGTTGCCAATAACACATTGTGCAGCTCTAGTGCGACGTAAATAAAGTACCTATCTGAATACAGACCAAAGACGAGATGAAATATCAAATATTGAGATCAATCTCAGTATAGTGCGGCTTTCAGGAGAACTCCACCAGACACCCGTCTCGCGTCATGGCGGGTACTGTGGTTACGAGGAAAGGTCACTTCGAATAGAGGTGTGGGGTGAATAGTTTTGTCTAAATCTTAGCATAGGTTGTCGTGAGTAAACCAATCGGCACCTTCTTTCCTCCCTTTCACCCCCATAAGAAATGCGCTCCAGCTTGTTACCATAGCAGCAGACAGCCCCAGACTTTCAGTCTGGAGGAATTCTCCCCAAGGCCGCACTATATACACAGTTTGCTTCTTTTGTCGAAATCAATCCAGTGAAGCCATTTTACAATTCCTGCAAGAAACTTTTCGTTTACTTATAATATTTTATAATTTCATGACTTACAGGGACTAAATGGTGTGGATCTGGAGATCTAGCCAAGAGTTATGACGATCTCGGTATCCACAAGGATACGGACCTTTGCTGCCGAGCACACGATGTATGCAATGATACCATGGCAGCAGGAGAGACAAAGAATAACCTCACAAATGACTCACCTTTCACAAAGTAAATAAGTGCTTTTTCTTTTCAATATTTTTAGCCAAGAAAAACATAATATAGGTCATAGGGATGTCCCACCTACGAGTCTGAACTAGATAAAAGTTTCCCCTCAGCAGTCATCGATTGTATTTTATTTTATTATTGTCTCTTTTAACCGGCGTTGAACAGCCTACCCAATTCTCAGTTTACCTCTGACGGTTAGCCTGACGGCAAGAGGACTTTAAGCCATGATTCGTCTACCACTGGAGAAATTTTGCATCAGCACTGTAGTTGGTGTAAGCCCGGAGCAGAGTTCGTAGCAACCAGGCACCGCTGAGATTCGAACCTCGGTTACCTTATTGGGAGGCGAACGCTGTATCACCTAAGCTACAAATCGTGGCTAATCTGGCAATAGTTATGATTTAAACTATCAACTGCTGAACTTTTTTTGGATGTGACAGGCCTTTAGAAATTTGAGAAAACTATTCGAAAATTCATTCAAAATGTAGTTACATTCAAAATTCTCTATCTTTCTTGTAGGTTGTGAAGGGTGTATGTTGAATGATAATAATTTTTTTGTGTCAGTTAAAGTAATTAACTTCAAATTTAGGAGAGAGATTATGTTACAAAAATACCTTTTTCAGGTAAAGTTAGCTTGAGCTTCTCAATATAAATTTAAAATTGAACCAAAGGACCAAATTATTGATTATAAAAAACACCAATAGAATAGGACTTGAATGTCTTTATAACTGTCTCTTATCTGATTTAACGTGAAGACAGCTTACTGTGACTTTACAAACTACTTGACTTTACAACTACTATGAAACTGTTAAAATTGGAAATTTTTAAACCAGTTTTTATAATTTTTTTCTTCTTTTAACCGTCTGGTTAACCACATTATAGAGAAATAAAGTAATCAGAAAGGTAAATCTATAGTAAAAAATTTTATTTTAACATATTAAAACTCTTCGTAGAGAAATGATTCTATAAAATGACATTTAACACGACATCTGGGAACTGAACTACAATACTAAATTAAAAATAAAACAAATTGTGATCGCCTTGCAGCGATCACAGGCTATCTATTGGCAAAATGGTTGTTGTCAAATTTTTTTTGGAAAAGCAACTTTATTGGGTTTTCATCTTGGACATCTTTAACTGTTAGTCCTGAACTGCTCGGTACACAATTTCGCAGACATATTTGAATGCAGCTCAAACAAAATCTGTGTAAATTCTTTTGATGACTGAATAAAAATTGAACAGCCAATCGAGATCAATATGAACATTTTCGGATTGGTACAATGGTGTTTTAAAGAGATTGTAAGCTGCATCATACACCCGTTTTGGATTCACAGGTTCATACATGAAATATGATTTGAAAGCTAGGCTTTTTTCAATTTTACATGAATAGTGAATGAATCATTTATATCGCGTGGAAGACAGTCTGCAGTCTTGCGCAAGTCATTGGGTACGTTGACAATGGATCCTTTTATCCCTAACTGGTGATCAACACCCAGTTCTCGTATTTGCATGAAAGGGGTTCGAAGAGCCAACATTCGCTCTTCGGTAGGGTTCAATTCTTCCAACCACTTGCAACTTGCGAACGGAATCCTTTCGTTTTCCCGTTTGTGTGTAACGCTTAAGGTATTCCCATCTATGGTCTTTGTCTTTTTCAGCCTCGGTAAATTTAGGCATTGGTATCGTTTTTTTTTTCTTGCTTCAACTCTAACTTTTGGGACCGAGTCAATCAGTTTGAACTCTCTTTATTTGTGATATTCTCCTGAATTAGTAGTGAAAACGATCCAGTTTGAACTGTAGGTTAGAATTTCTGATTCTTAATTAAAACAATGAAAACAAAAATATCGTTCAAAGGATGAAATTCTCTTTTATTCACAACACAAGAATTTATGGGATCTCTCTGGTTCCATATCTAAAAAATAAACTCTCCAACTTGATGCACAACAAAATTTAAAGTGAAAAAGAGAATTCTAAAAAAATTATCAAACAGCAGCGGTCACGCATGCAATGACGACGCATGCGCACTGTCTACTATTACTCTTGTAGTTGAAAAGTGTGATGACGCCATCAAATCCAAACCAAGACCCATTTTTGCCTATGGGTTAAAAAAAAAAAGAGAGAAATCCACAAAACAGAGCATTCTTCCTCGATAAATATAAGATATTTCCAATAAGCTCAGAGTAAAATGTAAGAAAAATTTAATAAATACTAAAAAAAAATTTTTTTCTCTTCCAGACTAAGCTGTAAGTGCGATTATGACTTCTACGATTGTTTGGAAAAAGTGAACAGTATGACTTCTAATACGGTAGGAAAGATGTATTTCAATGTACTGAAAAGAGATTGCTATGCCGAAGATTATCCACTCACCAAGAAATGCAAAAAATATAAAACGTAAGTGAAAATATATAGCGGTTCACAATATAAAATATGGTTTTTTATATTGTGAAAGTTATTTTAAAGGTGTGGACAGATTCTTTAAGGGAATTGATAATAATTTCTTTCTGAATTTTTAACAAGTAACTATTGTAGAATCATCCACAATGAAACTTGTGCAAGTTGAATAATCGCGGTAATTAATCAAAGAAGTCAGCTTAAGAAAGAAATTAGTCATTGTTTTTCCATGTTATTCACAACTGTTAATTTCACTCTGTAAGGCAGGTAATCGGGTGATAAATATTTTGCCCTCTTTTATTATGTACTATAAATTCATTCTTGATAACTTGACACATCCAGGGGTGATTGTGAGCCCAAGTTAAAATTCCGGAAAATTTCTTGAGTTAAAAAAAAACAAACCAGTTTAAATTGAAAAAAAATTTAAACAAGGTTTTTTTCATTTTCCTCAATATTTCTTAGTTTACTTAAACTATATTTAAAATTTAACGCATACCTATACCATTTTAACATACCTAGGATGACCTGGAGAAGTAATTAAATTTTACAAATATGTTTTTCTTTCTTCAGTTTATGATTACAGGGGTCTGTCCAGACATTTTGTGAAAGGTCCGTTTTTGTAAAATTGTGAAAAAATTACTCGTAGTTTGTGAATATAAAATAAACGTTAAGTCACATTCTTTCAACCGGGTTCCGCTTTTGTGAATTTGAGCAAATAGGGTCCGTTATTACAAAATAACCTTCTTCAAGGATTTTTTAAATTGTAAAGACATACAAAATTATGCACTGTAAAATCATAATTAAAAAAAATAAATTTTAAAAAATAAACAGCAATTGCAGCTACTAAATTAGCGATGCAACATATAAATATTTGGTATTTAGCCTATACTGCTGAACACAGAATATTCATTTCGAACGAATAAAGGAAGATGCGTCTGCGAAAGACAAAATTTAGTTCGTTTACATCTGTCTTTCGTCCCCACCCCCTTCCTGGGAAGGGTTTATTCGATTAACAAAACAATAATGAAGATAAACAAATTTGTGAAGGGTCCGATTAAAAGATAAATTATTTTGTGAAGGGTCCGTTTTTAAGTTAAAATTATTTTGTGAAGGGTCCGTTTTTATGAAAAGATGTTTTGTGAAGCGTCCGTTCTTATGAAAGGATATTTTGTAAGGGATCCGATAACGGACCCAAATTTCTTCTAAACAGACCCCTGGATTATAACAACTATATACTGATAAAAAATTAATATTAATCATGAATATAAGCTTTAAAGTATCTCTCTGGCTCTCCCTTACAAACAAATAAAATAAACTTTGTTTCCAAGTTCCACCTTTGAAAATTTGATTTCCGGAAAGTTCTGTGATCAATGATTTTTTGAAACATCAGGGCATTCGATTTCCGGAGCACAATCAGCCCTGCACATCTGACTGTATACCTATATCTGTTTTTATTTGCCTAATTTCATTTAAAACTAGCAGCCTGTGGCATACTCCATCAACACTAACTCACCACTTTGCGATTCCACATTTATTTATTGAGTTACAGTATTTTGCAATGGAAATAAAATTCTATACCGCTTAATTTAAACACGTTCGGCCTCAATGAGTAGAAACATGGCAAAAGTTATAAAGGAAATCTTTAAATTAAAAACTGTCTACCGAGGAACGTCTTTTTTTACCACCTACCTAGTTTCGTATCTGCAACATTTTGAGCTCTGAAGCACCATGAATACACATACAACCAAGCGACAGGTAGACATCTTGATTTTATCAGATGTGTAAACAACCCTTTAAATAAATAAAAAAAATTACACATATTTGCCATTTTTTTAAAAACATGTCACTTCCCCACTCTATATATATTTTGAAAAACGAATTCATACTCTGGCATTTATTTGTTCACAACTTATTTGAATACTTAAGTTAGGCAAAATATGGAAACTTAACTTGACCTATTTCTTAACCCTTTGAAGCAGATGGAACACCAGTGTCACTTATATATATTTCTGACGCTCTAAATTACAAATAAAAATATATTTTGGTATTTTTTTAATCATAAAAAAGTCTAATTGGTTCTTTTAAAAAAATTATCGGAATTATATTTGTATGAAATATCAAATCGGCAACTGTTTGTCTTAAATCTAATTAAATGCTAATTTGAAAATCATTCTGAATTCATGCTCACTTCCAAATTATTATTTGGAAGTGAACAGTGTTAGGACGATTTTACCTTTAATGTAGAAAGTCACACATCAGTGTTTCATGCTGTATTTCAAAATCATAAATTACAGAACTAAAAATAATATTTTTCCTATACGTAAATTTTAAGAGTGAATGGTTGAGATAACTTGTAACGTTACAGGGCAACAAACTGAGCTCTATAAAAATGTGTAATATTTCTCGATAAGTTCAAATAACAAGTGAGAAAAAAAACTATAAATTTCTTTTAGATTTTTGAAGCTGATTTGTGTAGAATATCATAGAGATACTAAAGCTAAAAAGGTGTTCCAGTGGTTCCCTGCAAAGAGGTATAGAAAATTACCTCTTCCAATTATAGGAGGCATAGGAAGTCCCGTGGCAGAAGAAAAGTAGCTACTTGTATACACGTACAGATGAAGAAAAAAAATTATTGTTAATTCCAATTAAACATGCAGAAAATCACTGTGACTTCACGCCTAATAAATCAATAAATTCTATTTATTGTTGAAAATATTCGTTGAAATCTGTTTCAATGTTCATTGCCAGTATTATGTTTCACATCTAGTTGGTTAGAAGTGCACCCCTTAAAAAAAATTCATCGGTATTGACAAGTGGCATAAGACGACAACATCTAGTTGATTAGAAACGTTTTTTTTTTTCAAAACAAGTACTAGGGCTCAAAACAAGTACTAGCTGCTATTTACTAGGTTTCAAAACAAGTACTAGCTTTATACATTTTAATTACATTGGCAAAATAGAAAACACAAAATATAAACTGAAAGTTTTAAGCCAAATAAGTCATATTATTCAATCATGAATTATGATGATTCCAATCATGAATCCTTATGATTAAAAGTTTCTCGCTCTATAGAACATTTAAAAGGTATCTTAATGTTTTTTCAATGCTACACTTTTCTCTTTAAAAAAAAGCATTAAAAATCTCTAGACAAAATTCTGTTCACTTTGCAGGAATGACTGGATAAGTTAAGAAAAAGGATTTATTATTAGTCATTTGTCTGATGCCAATGTTCTATCCAAAAGGGCAATAATTTTATCATATTTTTCCATTTTCTTCTTATGCCTTTCATCAGCGCCATCCAGCATTCGCGATGCCCATTCTGGAATGTCAATTTTTCTTTTCTTCTTGTACCGAGGAGGCAGCTCTTCTTCTCCAGCGAAACGGTGCATAGTGGGATTTCGACCAAATATCTCCTCCATTTCCTTAAACACAGCTTGGCTCCTAGCAACATGATTGGAGTTGGAATCGAGTGCTTTCTTGTAAGCCACCGTCAAACTCTTAATCTTGTTCTCGCACTGCAAGTCCGTAACACCATATCCGTGAGAGCTGTTCATTAAATCAGCAATTTTCTGCCACACTACCTTTTTCTTGGTGAAGGGGGAAGCAAATTCTTGTATGTTATCTCTGTATATACTTAAAAGCAACAGAGCTGCGCTTTCGTTCCAGTGCACCAAGCGTGGAGTTTCCCAATTGCTATCTGATTGATGTTCCATGTGTCTAACTATAAGATTGAAAATAAGTGTTACAAGTTGTCTAAATGGAAAACAAAATATTAAGTCGGGGAAAATGTTTTGCTTTTATCAATGCATCTTGTCATTGTTAGAAACTTTCAAAAAGACAGGGACATGATTCGATGTTTAAGAACAGTCTGAATAGCAATTTTAATTGATTTTAGAATATTTTTGTACAACTTCATAAAGAAATTAGCAACAAAATAATCATTTTTAATACTACCACACAATTTTATGCTGCTAAGTGCAACGAGTAATTTTTTTCCCAGAGTAATTTTAAATAACTTTATAAATAAAATAATCATTTGGAATATTTGCTACACAATTTGGTGCTGTTAAGCGCAGCAAGTTATAATTATTATTGTAATTTATTTATTTTTTGAGTAATTTTATAAAGAAATTAATAATAATTCATACAATTCTATATTGGAAAATACAGCAAATAAAGTAGGTATTTTTCTTTAACATATAAGGGGAGATGCACAATATGCTTCCTAACTATTCAAAAATTGTTGTTCCGTGTTCTTAAAATGAGAATGTTGGCAAAATAAGTTACTAATTCAGGTAAAAGCAATTTACTTTTTTGAAATATAATAAAAATTCATGTTAACTTTTGTTCAAAAATGGTTCTCTTTTTTTTTCTTTTGAAAATAAATATTGTTAAAAAACAAATTTATGTGATGTTCTTTTAACAAAAGGAAAAGAAAAAAAAAAACTTAAATTACAAATTAAAGATTAGTTTTGGACGAAAAAGGACTTTAATTCTGAGTTTCTATTAAATTGCAAATGTTTGTTTCAAAATTATTAACCCAATAAAACGCCTTCACAAAAAGCTATGATAAAGTTATGAAGGTTCTAAGTTAAAAATAAATAAAGTAGGATACATTCTATTGATGCAGCTAAATTTTCAGCTGATTCTGCAATAAACACCAAGGAATTAATACTGTATTTCTTATATTGATAACTTAGAAGGAAAAAATTCAATGATAATTTCCTGAAAGATGTCCCAATAGTAAACAGAAAGCTAAATTAATAATACTATAGTAATTTATTAGGATAAATTCAATTAAAGCAGGAAAGTCGAAAAAATAAGCTAAAGTGGCTTTGGAACAAAAATTTTTTGAAAACCATTAGAACTGTTAGAAGATTCTATTAACAAACAAGTTAATATGTAGGTAAATAAAATAGTCTAGTATAGTCTGATTAATAGGAAAATAAAGTGAGAAAAAGTATTTATTTATACATGTTGTTGAAAAGTACATATTTACATTTCATATAAATATAATGATCATAAGTCAAATACATCTTTATTTGTAGGCAAACCAAATGATTATAAACACAAAATAGTAGCATTTAATATACCAAAACAAAAATAATTATAGTGGTACTCTTAAATTAAAGTCAGGTACATGTTTTATTTCAATATTAGTAACACATAAATGTAGAGAAAATAATTTATTCAACTCTCTGACAGTTTTTAAGCGCATTTCTAGTAATTTTAAAAATTAATGGTCAAAAATATTCCAGAAATTTTTTAAACCCTTTGACAGCATGCACACAGAGTTGAATAAATGAGTTTGAAAACAAGCAATCTGCAGAGAAAGTCTGCTGTAGATTACCTGTTACAGAATTCGTTGACATTATTTCACACCTTAGAAATGGTTGCACAATAAAAATTTTTTTTACTAATTAATTTCGTAAAAATAGAAAGGACAAAAGCTTGAAGAACTTTTATAGTACTCATTGCCTTTTTTTTTTGTTTGTAAAATAATGGACCAATTACTTATTTAACACCTACTCCTGAAACGTTAAAATATAAACCAAAAATAACACAGTAAATGCATAAAAATAATCATCATTCAAACTCTATTATGAAAATTGTTTGATTGGAATTGAGCAGCTAGATCTTTTTTTAAAATTGTTAAGAGTCTCATTTAAAACTGATGCAGTACAAATAATTATATTATCGTATGATATTAAATTACAAACATTGAATGCTTTATAAGAAAAGAAAGAAATATGAGTTTCAAAATATTTATTTTCAACTATTTTTTTTAAAAATAAAATACACTTAGCTAATACAAATAAATTAGCTGAATTCATAAAAATAGAGACTATGAATAAAATATTTATTTTTGAGAGTGAGACTATGAATTTGAATAAAATATACATTTTTTGTATAATCAAATTCAAACTCACTAAAATCAGAACAATATTTCAAAAATAGCTTCTTTTTTTTTGGAAATAGAATAAGACATTTCACTCACTATATTTATTGTTGACAATCATGTGACAAATTTCCTAAGTTGGCCTAGTTTATTCAAAATTACCCATATTTCAAAATAACTTCAATGCCAACATTATTGAGCAAATTATGAGAAACACAACAAAAATAAATGAGTTTTTAAAAATTAAAGTATCCCTAATTAAACAGTTTGAATCCTAAGGTTTGTTGGCAATTTTTTCTAAAACTGAAATTAGTCTATCATATTTTTCCATTCGCTCCGCATGTCGTTTCTCAATGCCTGCCAGAATTTTTCCTACCCAATCAGGAATTTCCAGCCTTTTCCTTTTAAATGGCTTTCCTTTAACCAGAGTTTTCAGAAGATGTTCGGCTTGTGAATCACCATCGTTTTGAAATTGAAACCCCGATGAAGAAGAAGCTACTCCAATGTGGTGCACCACGGGATTGTGTCTATACAAATCATCTAATTCTTTAAACAATGCTTGACTTCTGTGACTTGCGACAGTTTTCTTATTATTCTCACACGCTTTTCTGTAAGCTATTGTCATACTTTTAAATTTGTTTTCACACTGTTGCGGAGTTACACCTAGTCCGTGCACATTATTCAAGATTTCAGAAATCTTCTTCCAAACTGTCTTCTTTTTGGTGAATGGAGAAGCAAACTCTTGTACATACTCTTTGTAGGTGTTTAAAAGCAAAAGAGCCAAATTTTCATTCCACTGTACTAATTTCGGAGTTCCATATGACACAGCCTCATCAGCAGATTGTTCCATTTCGACTATAAAAATTAAAAAATCATTCATATGTAAAGGAATCATTTTTATTTCTTTTTAACCTTTATGTGACTTAATTTGTAAGCATCAAATAAAAATACAGTTTGCTTTGGATTAACAGTTAACGGCTTTAACTTTACTAAAATCATATCAGGGACAATGGGGCAGTAAATGCTTTACATTTCATTACTACCTACAGTCAGCTAATTAAGACAAATCAGGAACAATGATTTATTCTAGACTGCTTCCAGGAATAGGACTTAAACTAAAAAAACTCCGGGCCAAACATGAAACTGTGAAATTACATTCAAGTGAAAATTACATAGTGAACAATTATTTTCATTTGATAATCATTAACCCTTCCATGTAGAGATTTGTGTTTGATCCAATTATAGAAAAAAAAAATTAAATATTTACTGAGAAGTACAATATAATTTTGATAAGACAAAAAGCAGAAATTATAAAATAAAATTCAAATGGGGATGATAGGATTGATAATTTAATTTTAATTATGTAAATATAAAAAATAAATGCAAAATGTTTTCTGTATAACATAAATATTACAGATCCTTTATTTTTCGAAAATATTTTGAAAAATGGCAGTAACAAAATGAAAAAAGTCTCCAGTTGCTTCCGATTTACATAGCTCAGATGATTCTATAATTATTTTGATACATTATTTGTCATTTTCCAAAAGGGAAACACATGAGCAAAGTAGTCACTTGAGTTTTCACTACTTTTTAATGTTGTCTCTAAACATCAAATGTGACTTTGCAGAGTGGCTACACTTTTTTAACTTTTAAACTAAATTCGATATGCTTGAATATAAATGAAACTAAGCATAGTAAATGATATGCGCTCTTGTTTGCTGTGTTTAATCAGTGTGCAATTACTTTTAAAACACATACAATTTGCAGAGCTCATTCTAGGCAGAAAAAAGGGCAGGGTGCAAAAGATTAAAAAAGGGGTATTATTATTCTAAAAAGGCAATAATTTCTTTCTATGGGCTTTACACGTTCTATTAAAAAACATTGTCAATTAGTAAAAGAAATTTTTTTTTTTTTACTTTACTAAAAGTAGCAAAGCAATCATATTTTTTATTAATAATCAAAGCAATCATCATTTTTATTAATAAATTAACATATATATCGAGTAAATGAGCTAATTAGCTTAGTAATTTATTTACAAAGCATGCATATATTTATAAAATATTAAATGTATGTATTTGAGTGTCTGTAGTTATGATTTAATACTTAAAATGATTAATAATAATTATGATTTTAGCCGACCAGGTGGCTGAGTGGTTAGCGTGCCTGACTGCGAAGCCAATGGCTGCGGGTTCGAATCCCGCTCTGGGTATGGAGTTGTTGTTAATTTACGTCGCACTAGAGCTGCACAATGGGCTATTGGCGACGGTCTGGGAAACATCCTGGAGGATGATCCAGGATGTTTCCCAGACCGTATACAAGACATGCCATCACAATTTTGATCCTCTGCGGAGGGGATGGCACCCCCACCTCGGTAGCCCGAAGACCTGCGCGAAGTCGAGCTCTTTACGGTAGCACAGTTTAACAAGGACCAATACCGCACACCCTCGGTCCCTACGCAGACTGATCCAAGTGGTCACCCACCCGCACACTGACCGCAGCCAGTGATGCTTGACTTCGGTGATCTGCTGAGAACTGTGTCTTAACGATCAGTCCTCTGCGGGACCGCTCTGGGTATGGAAGTTTCTCTCTCTCTCTGTGTTGTCTTCTGATGTGTGAATGTATGAATGTGGCCCACCCCATGAATGGGTATTTGTGGCAGAGTGGCGTGGGTAATGTTGCTCGCCTCCTTGACTTTGGTTCACAGGTGCCCACTGGGTAATGATAAATGAGCAACACTTGTGGCATCTTCTAAGGCAAAGAACAAAAGTTCAGTGCCTGCCGATATTAAAAAAAATAATAATAAAAAAAAATTATGATTTAATGATAGTGGAAGTAACGGCAAACTCTCAAAAACAAAAGCAACAAGGGGGTGTGATGGCTATTTTTCCTTTCCCATATAAATCTATGTATTGACAGCAACGACAAACTAAATAAAAATAGTTGAAAATAAAAAAAGTTTAAGAAATCCATTGTAGAGTTTGGGGGGGGGGGAAATAAAAAAGGGTTGAGGAAAGGGTATGGAGTCTATTACATCAGGGCACTAATTTACTTTAGAGGCAACAGAGTGGATTCTTTTGACTAAAAGGGCAGCAGTGTGCCGCATCCTGTTTACCCTGCCTAGAATGAGCTTTGCAATTTGTAAGTATTAGATGCAAGCCAATTTGTTATAGCGTCATTATAAAGTCAGACAAAGTTAAAATGTTTATTTTCTATACAGATCTATCTCTGCTAAGACAATAATGAAAAAAATAAAAAAAGATTACAAATTTAGCAATTAAAGTGAAGTGTTCTGTTGAGTTGGAAAGCAAATTTTGCAAATAACCCTTATTTACCGACACATCAATTAGTTATAGACAATTTACAAAACTTAATGAACATAATAAATAAAAAAATTCATACATTTTAAAACAATTTTTAAAATTTTAACAGGATTCATAACATTATCAGACGTACTTATTATAAATCTATTTTATAATACATATGCAAATTTAAAAAAAATATAATTCACTAACATTTTTTTAACAAAAAAAGATTACTCAGCTTATTTTCTCGTATAGTAGATTAAAACATGAAGGAGGGGGGGGGGAGAGAGAGAGAGAGAAAACTAAATTCACAGCTTAAGTTTTGCGGAAATAACACAGGGGTAAAAGCTACGTATCTCAACTTTAAAAAGTTTTTTTTCTTCTTAGTCACATAAAGGTCAAAGACAAATACAAAAATGTAGATCCTAATTTATAAGTAATCTAAGTTTAAAAATTTAACAACCATAAACAGTATTTGCAAAAGTTTCATAAGTAACAGACTTAGGCAGTTTTAACCAAGGTATAAACTATCAAAGTCTCACTTTTTATAATGTTATATGCCTTACAATAGTAATTTTAAGATGAATATGTTCACAATACCTGTTAGATATTAAATTTATTTTATTGCTAAAATTATTTAATCTTTGCACAGTAACTTAATTACAGAATTGTTTGACAAATTTTGTATTTAATACTGAAGATATATAATGAAGAAAGCTTTCGTATAGTGCTAAGATAAAATTTTTATTTTAATCACATGGAAATATGTCATTATTATGATATGTATTTCATCTTTACATATTTCACCTAAGTGTTTTCAGAAGGCAGCCTGCCTCACTTGCTCTTTTATCTTTATAAATGTGCCCTCCTTATAAAAATAAGTAACCATCCCATAAAAACTCTGCCTTTTAATTTTACTTTTTCAAGTAAAGGTTGCTTTGATAATAACCTGTTTTAATGAAAAGCCCATTTCTGATTTATTAAGTGACTGATAATTATATAACTTTAATTTTTAATTAGATTCCTTTATTTTAGAAAGATTTTTCTTATGTAATGAATTTTTTAGTGATATTAAATTTTACCATTATTTTTTTTAAATAAATATCTTTTATTTAAAAATGCAAATTTAAATGTTTATTTTTTCATAATTTTCAGATTAAAATTTCAAACAAAAAACTTTAAATTTTGTTGTTCATCAATAAATCCCCTTTTCAGCGTACTATTTTTTTTTTTAAAGAAAATTTAAACATAGAGATTGTCTTTAAGCTTGCTACTAATTAGTTTTTAAAAACTTGTATTGAAATTAAATTAAACATTTGTATATACAATAAGCTTGATAATAAAATGTTTTCCATATGACACATAGTTTAAAGTTAATTAAAAATTTACAGGTGTATCGTAAATATGCATTTAAAGTCAATATAAAAATAATTAGTCTTATTTTACTAATTATTAGAACATTTAAGTAGAAAAACTATTTATAAAATTTACAAAACTTCAGTTCTCTAAAATTCAAATGTGTTAATTAAGTTTTAGAAAAATCACAAATATTCAGAAAATATTACAAAATTTGTCAATTAAAAAAGTCAGTATCACTTCTAATTTTATGAATATAGCATAAAGATTTTCTACTTGATCTTTGCTTTCCTATTATTATCATTTGACTCATACAAAGTGTCCCAGAATAGGTAATTTTATACATGAATATAAAATAATAAACAAAACAAAATAAGTGTGGTTTGCTTCAGGCAAACATATTCTATTACAGCAATTTTACTTTAGAATCCTTTTATAGCAATCAGAGAATTACAGCAGAATTCAAAATATCAGAAAGTGAAGAAAAGAGAATGAGAGTTTTCATTTACATTGTGAATGTGAACTGAGTTTTATCAACAGAGTTTATGAAGAATTCTATAGTTTGATTTTATAAAATGTATACAATTAAGCTGAATATAATAGAAATTTACACTGATTTATTTTCATTAATAAAAAGTAAAAAACAAGTTTTTTTTTTTTTAAATTTTAAATACAATAATCTTATACAGATGGATTATGAATAAGTAAGGGTGAAATATTTGTCATTTACATAAAAATTGACAATGCTATTTTTCATACTGTGCTTCATTCAAGGAAAGCTTAATTATATAATAAAATAAACACATAATAATTATAAAGAATGCCATCTTATTAATTTTATATCCTAATCATAAGCTGGAAATATTTTCTATAAACTCAGACTCAGAACAATGTTTTTAAAAGATATGGAAAGAGGGAAAAGAATTGACGATGTAAAATTTACATTCAATATAGAATTACAGTAAATTTTTGGTATTAATAGTATTAACTTTATTTAAAGCATACATTTGGTTGATTACATTGATATACAATGAAAAAATAAACACAGCATTTAAAAAAGAAATACCTATAGAACATGATGATTTATATTAATCTTTTGTTTATTTATTGCTCAAGTCCAATCAAACATTTTCTTTAATAAAATTGACTTTATAAAGTAAAATAAAAATATCTGTTTTTACATTTAAGACAATACTTGGGGACAAAAAAGCTACCACTAACTTAAATTCATTAAAAAGAACTTACTCTGCTGAGAATGTTCTTCATTAGAATAATCATGTTCTGAAGGTTCAATAATAGTGATAGTCCTTATAACCTCATTGTTCAAGTTTGTAGCTAGGAAGAAATAAGAATTTGAGTGTGTAGCTATCAAAAGAATTTTAAAGTAAAGATTTGCTATATGTCTACAACTTTTACTTCCCTAAACTAGGCATAATTTAGAAAATACAGCTATTGAAATAAAATAAAAAGTTCACAACACTGCACTAACAAAGCATGTTATTTATTACCAGTCTTTTCTTTTTATATCTAACATTACCTTCAGTAAATAATCTGCATACAAAAATTTTACCAAAAATCTAAATTTGCTCACCAGTTTTAAAAACTTTATGCTGAATTTTTGGTATTGATTTGTTACACATCTGCACTTTTTCAGTATTTTTTCTCACCAACATTGATGATAACGGCAAATGTGAGGTTTGGTGCATTTTTGTGCAAAGTGTGATGTAAAAATTGGAAGCAGTGTGGTAGTTATGGGGGAGACCCCTATGGAGCCAGGGTTGGTTTTTTCACATCAAAAACTGGTTTTTAGACATGACCTTCAAAAAGCTGTGGAGAAGTGATAAAAACTGTTGAAATCCATCAAAAACCTGGGGCAAGTTTCTTTTTAGACGTTGGAAACATTTTATTAGATATTAAACCATGCCCAATATTTGCATTATATAAAACTATAATTGTGATTCATATTGTATATCACATATAAAAAATATTGCCAAAATTATTGAAGCTATTAATTAGTTTTTCCAATGGTAATCTTAATATTCTAAGACGCATACTATAACAGTTTATATTGCAGGCAATAACTATGGACTGATAATCATTATCAATCTAGATATTGATTTTAATTCTTTTATGCTTCAATTAGGGCAGATTTTTTAGATAAAAATTAAAAGGCTCGCCAATAATTGTCGCTATTAATTATATTCAGGAGAGCGGAATATCTTTGACACTGCGAACAAGGCTTTGGAAGAAACTCAAGCAGCCATGAGAAAATGCTTGGTCTAAAAAAATTTATACAAAATTTTGTTAAAAAATTTTTTGCTTTACAAAACTTTTTCTTCTTAAAAAAAAACATAGGTACATAATACCTTCATTTTTTAAATTAAAAAAGATTTAAGTGCAATTGTCCAGTATAAATTTGACCGGAATTCAAAACACTGACGTTCTTTTAAGGTTAAGGATATTGTCTGATTGTTTTGATTAGTTGTGGATTTTTCACATTTACTTTAAAATAATACACAAAACTATTATCTATGTTTATTTTTAGTGTGTTGCCCAGCATAAATTTACATAGAAATCCATCACACTGATGGTAGTTTATGATTAAAATCCTACAAATTAATTTTTAAGTGATGCACAGAATCTGAGTATGTCAATCGAGTGTGAGACTATAATTTTTAATTAAAAGCATTTGTTTTGAATAGAGCCCAGTAATGTTGACTTCGCTGCATTATGATGTAAATTTGTCAAATGTGAAAAGATTTCATTTGACTGGAGTAAATTTTTTACAGTTGGGTGTAGAAAACGATGATTAAAGATTGGTATAATTACAAGGTATTTTGAAGGAAAAAAAATTTTTATAAGTGAATAACTTCAAAGTGTTTATTATTGTAAATTTTTTATATGGATGTTTGTTGTTAAATAATAGTTTTGCGCGTATAATTGCTATATTTTTTTAATAAAAATTACAGCATAGTGGTAACACAACTGTTACCTAAGGGATGCTATTTGACATAAATCTGTAGTTTCTTTTTTATTTATGTAATAATTTTTTGTGTTGCTAAAAAATGACGGTAATACAAGTGAACTTTGAATTTATTAGGGTTACAGTATTTTATTTCAGTTACATGTTTCGGCATCCAACAAAAGCAGCATCAATAAAAATGCGCCGAAAGTAGTTGGCAAAAAAAAATTGCCAACATCAGGGGCAGCTGCATAAGAAATCAGTTCCGAATTTTCAAAACAAGCATAAATGGAGAGAAAAAAAGCTGGAAAAAATTTTATTAGCATATCTATATCAGCTTTAAAATAAGCAAATAAAGGTATCCAAATTACTAATATATTCTATAATACTAATATAACACTAGTAAAATTAAGTAAAGAATAACAAGTTAAACCTTACTAATTGCACAAAATTACTTATTGATTGGAACACAGTGTAGTTTTAAGAAAATAAATGGCAACTGCTTAATTATCAAAAAAAGTTTTAAAATATTTACATGTTAGGAAACACATTTACATGGTTGGGCATCAATATATATTTTGAACATCTTAAATTAAGATTTTTGTTACTAGAAATTATTAACAAACGGTTAATGCTTACTCTCTTGAACTTGCGCTTCTTCAGTAGTAGTCTCCCCATTTTCAGAAGTTTTTATAATGGTTATAGTTTCCATTTCGCCTTTTCAAATGAACTAACTCTAAAAAAATATAGAGAAATTAGGCAACACCAAAAAAAAGGAAAAAATATCTCATAATAAAATTAGGTATTTCACTGTTATTAGGTGCAAGTAAATCCAATGCTTTTTTTTTTTTTAATTTTTTTAATTGGCGAGAATGTTTACTTTGTTTTATGATGAAAAAAAAAACATACATAAATGAAAAATAATAAATTGGATATACTTGCAACAACCTAACTAAAATGTACCAAAAATTAAACATGCATAGATAAAACTCAATCCACACTTTTACAAAGGAAATAGGTAATTTACATATTTCGTCTGAGAAAAATGATGTTAGGTTAGGGTATTTCTATGCTATCAGGGGTCAATAACAATTTTGTTTTTAATGGCAGATTTTTGCTATAAAAATTATTTTTTAGGAAAATTCTCAATGAGAAAGATTTAGCTTTAGAAATCATTATCTTTAATTCTAATTTTTTTGAAACATCAATGTGTCTTTTCATTAGTTTTTTCAGCCTCATTATTATGGCCTTTCACACGAACCCCAATATATTTAAAACGTTGTTACAACATGTGACTTTTAAATCTGCGCTATCACTTTCAGTCACGTTTGATTTTTGATAATTCCAGCATCATTTTACATCGTTTGATGATAGTTTTTTCTATTTTATGATTTCACATGGTTTTCCTTTCATCTAATTTTTCACCCAGATTTTTTAATTCTGATATTTTTAATATGCTATCATCACGACATTTGAATTAAAGTTATCACCCTTAGATGTGTTTTATACCAGATGAACCAAAGCCATTCTTACGAATTTAAACTTTGTGACTTGAGCTGATATTTAAATAACTTAAAAAATCAATAAAATGATTAACATGAAATTACTGTTCTGGAGGTAAGCAAAATTTAGAAGAAAAGGCATTATTTGTACATATTATGAAAAAAGCTATACAATATGAATAAACTACAAATTATGGCACAAAAACATACAGCATACTATACCTTACTATAAGTCTGATTTTTGTAGTATAATTAGACCTTTTTCATGTTTTTAAGCTTTATAGGCAAAACAATATCTTCAGAGCTGACGCTTTTGTTAACTGGATCTTCACCGAAAATGTTTCTTACTTTATTAATATGTACTTTTGCTTAATTTACTAAATATTTCTAAAATATTTACTTTAAATTTTTATATTTGCGTATAAGTTCTCCTAACATTCATTGAAAACAATCAAAACTATTATCACTAATCATAGCTCAAACTTTTGTTGTAATTCCCATTATCGTTAACATTCCTACGGATGGTTATACAATATCCCCATCACAGAGCATGTAGAAAATTTGATTTTCTTAACAAGAAAGAAAAGTAAAGGGGAGATTTCCGTATCCTGATCTGTGGCAGAATAATCGTCAAGTCTTGGCAACTTCCGGGTAGCGGCCCGGGAGAAACTAAAAAAAGACATCACAAAAAGTGACCAACTCGAAATGTATAATTCAACGCCACCCCTGGGCAAACATCTAAAATTTTTTTCCCTTTTTTTTTTTTTAAATTTGCAAGTTTAAAATCTATTTGGCACCTTGGCGATTGTAGTTGGCGCAACAGATCACGATATGGAAATATCCCCAAACTAAATGTACCACAAGCAGAGTAAGAGATCAAGAATTAAAGGATTAAAAAGAACCAAAAGCAAAAGTTAATATGCACTGCATGGTTACAATGTTAACTAATTATTGATTACACTATTAGCAAGTATGTTATATTGACCAGGGCTTTAGTTTTCAAGAAGATAACAGATTTATACAGCGTATAACAATGCTGAGCAATTGATAAAATAAAGTGCAAATCTTTTGTGATGCACTTACTATGTTTTTTTCAATTGCTTGGTACTAAAAATTATGATCACACTTAGTAATGTCTGCAGGTTCCAAAATTTTCTTTAAATTGAACCCTTAACATGTTTCTTGTTGAACCTAAAGGGTCAGTTGTATTTCGTTTTTTAAGTGACATGTACCTATATATCAAAGATATCCTTCTGCTAGCACAGAACATCATTTTTCTGTGTTAATTCATGTCAGCCAAATTTTCTGTACATCATTTTCTCTGCTTCACTTATTTCACCATATTTCCAACATTATCTAGCATTTTACATAAATCAGCACAAGTTACTCCCAATCCCAAAGTATTGCAGAAAAGAAAAAAAATATCATGTAAGGGAAAATTAGATATTTATACCCAGACAAAAAAAGTAAGGGTAAAGATAAGACATTTCAGGCAGGCAATAACATGACACTTTCATTTTTCGTCATTAATTTCCTTAGAGAATTCTACTGAACAAAAAATTTAGCTCAGATATTTCATTTGTTAGCTTTTTTCTACATAAAAATATTTTTAATTATTTATTTATTAAAAATACAGTCCTTTTAAAAATGCACATAAATGAGTAGAACACACATTGGTTAAATAAAGCTGCATTCTGGTGTATTCAAATAAAAGAAAATGCAAAATGTCTAGTATTTTAAGATTAATATTTACAACCTTTCTTAGCATTATTAGACAATTTTTTATTGTTTTGACCATTGTTTTCTGGGGTGTGCTAAAATCATATTTTAAGAAAATTTAAGAGAAACCTTAAAAATAATTCGATCTGTAATTTTGCCCGCCAGTTATTTTATTGCAAATAAACATTAATAAATACGTATTTTTATAGCATAATCTACTAAAATATGCAACATTTCACTAAGTTTCAATTGACGTAATAAATTCAAATACAGGTCAGTTATTTATAAGATCATTCTTAATTATCTATTTAGTTTTTTAAATGCTCAAAAACGTTTTAAAAATAGTGTTATTGCTCAATATAAATTCGGTTCAAGTTAGGACTAACTAGCGAAAAAATATTTTTGATAATTACATAATTCAATATTTATGATGCAAAAACTAGTCATTCAAACTTGATGAAATTATCATGTTTCTTATGTTTTGACTTTAAAAATTAGATGAATTTAAAAAGTTCGGTTCATAAACTGAAAAACTTTTTAAGCGGAACAAACTTGTTTTTCCTTTAGCCTAACTGCGCACTTAATCAATGACTTCTCGAACGGATAAATTATGGTGCTAATTGCTAAATACTTAGAATTATATGTAAAACAATACAATTTTAAAATGCATTGAAAAAAAGGTAGAGGTGAAATTGAAAAAATTTATCAGAAACATACCACATGAATTGAACAAACTCGTTCTAAAATGAAATCTGAAATGTCGGAATATCTTCTGATTCATCAGCGAGGCGTTGCCAAATAAAAACTATTTCAATTTTAGATATCAACTTTATCCCTAAATATTTTGAACTTTCCCTCTTTTTCCCTATCTAAAAAATTAAAACTGATGTAAAATTAGTAATTTCGTATCTATTTTAATAAAAAGTTATTTTAATCTATTGATTATTATTTTATAGTATTTTTTTTGTCACTGAAAAGTATATAAAATATTATTAAACCGATTTTCATTGATAATTTCCCTATACAAATTATGAATTTCCCTGTTAAACATTTAAAACTTTTCTGCCTAATGGGAACAGAATGATGAGTTTTGCATGCTGTTGTTTATTCCGTTGAAACCGTCCCTGGAAATTATTTTCCAATAAGCAATAACGAACGACATTATGTCTAAAAAAGGAAAATTGGTTATGACTATTGCTAATCTGGCTTTGGATTATTTATCTGATGATGAAGAAGAGGAACGAGAACTTTTATCAATAATTTCAGAAGAATTTCTGATAGACACTGCTAAAGTTAATACTCCATCTGGTCATAGTCAGCTTTATGTAGATTATATTGTTCCTCTTTACAATGAACAGGAATTTAAGAACTATTACCGAATGACGAGGGAAACGTTTAATGCTCTTTATGAAAAGATAGGACATACTTTTCAAAAAACAATGGGCCGACCAACAATTTGTCCGAGAAAAATGATTTTATGTGCTTTATGGATGCTTTCAACACGCGACACTATTAAGTATATATCATTGACTTTCTCAAATTTTGGAAATTTATTTTCTTGTTTTTACGATATTAACATATTGAATTATTAAGATTTTGCCTGTTTTTTTTACTAGATTATGTGTGTGCACATAACACTAGATAACATTATGGAAACCTTCCCGTCCAAACTTGCATATTTTTTTTAATTAATTTGCTAATTTAAAATCCATTTGTTTCCTAGGTGATTGTAATTGGTGTGACAGATTGAGAAACAAATATATTCCTGAGTTGCTATTTCTGATTTGTTTTTACGTTTAAACTTGAGGGGTTTGTCTAATGGAAAGGGCTAGAAGTTAAACTGTTTGAGTTAATCTTTTATAATAATTATTTTTCCGTGTCTCATGGAGCCCGTGTCTGAAAGTTACCAAAACTTGGTGATTAATTTGACCGATATCGCCAAGAAAACTATTTTTGGAAAGATAAAACCATGCAAAATTAGTGAGCTGACACTTTTGTAACTGGACCTTCAAAGAAAACGTTAATTTTATTAATACTTTTGCTTAATCTACCAAATATTTACTTCAAATTTTTATAGTTCTTGAACAAGTTCGAACATTCATTAAAAGCAATCAAAACTGTTATCACTAATCCTAACTCAAACTTTTGTTGTATTTTCCATTATTGTTAACATTCAAGAAAGTTTTATATAAAACTATTTCTTGAATGTGATCTTCTTTTTCACAATCAACAAAATACTTTAAGTAAACAAAACTGCTTTTAATATATCAAGATGACACAAAAAATTTTCAATTGACAAAATTTTTGTGCAAAGAAAAATTTATTGTTTATTAACAATAAATGTTGGTGAATGATATATGGTATTAGTTTAAGGAATATTTTTAATTATATTTTACCAGGGGCACCAATCCATCACTATAACTTTTATGAGAAAAAAATCCAGATTACCATTCATAACTGACACAATAGTGATTATGCTGTGTATAAAAATGATATGAATTTTATACCAAATGTAATTTAATATTTTTTATTTTTAGGAAACTATTGTTTAAATTATCGTCGTATGATAATACGTAGAGTAACAATTCGATCTTGGATTAAGTTGAAATTAATAAAAATGATGAAGTGTTTTTTTTTTTAAATAATATTTTTTTATGACTTACTATTATACCACAATGTATGGTAAGTTAAAAGTAATAACTGAATTGGAATTTAGAAAATTTTTGTGATTTATAAGTGTCAGGCCAGTGTTGGTTTCCTTATTTACATGAATTTATATTCATTTTTAATCATTCCTAATCCTTTTCTAAATAAATAAATCAGTTAATTAAGTTTTATTTAATTTCATAAGGAGTGAATGTATTTCTGTTATTTTTTTTTCTCACTAAATGTAACTAACTTTTAATTTAAAGTTAATGTATAACTAATTATTATTAAATGTCGTGATAATCTGATATAAAAAAAAACTTTTTTTTAATCCTTTTTTTTCCCCAACTTCATAAAGATTTTGGGTTTATTTTTATGCCAAGTTTTTGTGCGATTTACTGGACTTTTGTTCATTTTCGATAAAGCATCGCATAATAATCTCTTATTAATTGGTATTTAATCAGGCAGGTTGTAGTGGCTTTTTACTCCTATGGCCTGTTCCTATTAATAGCATTCAAAATAACAATTATAAATTTATAAAATAAATTGTCTTTTTTAAGTGAGCCTGATTTAAATTAGTGATTGTTCTGCAGCATTTCAGATATGATATTTTTATAATAAATTTATTACAATGATAAATTAATATAGCCATCAAAAATGGATTTCAACCAATATAAATATTTTCTAATTCCAAAAGCCACATAGCAAAAGAATCGTAGATTGTATCTACAACATGGAATTTCATGAATAATAATCATCTTCAACAAACTGGTAATACTAGTTTTTAAACACTTATAGGAGTCCTTAATCATTTAGTTAAAAAGGGTGAAATGTGAAAGCTTAATTTAACCATGAAGTATTTTACAAGAATTTCAAATTAATCCTTGATTAATAATAAATTTTTGAAATGATAATTGATTGTATTCAAATTATTGTTTTTTCTCAATGCTTTATCTGATGCTTTCTCTTTTATGCTATTTTTCCATGTTCTTTTTTTTTTTTCGTTCCCCAAAATACGAATTCTCAAACATCACTACGGGATCTTCTTTTCTTTTTTTTTTTACAAAGTCGTAATTTGTGATAGCAGTTTTTACTCTTGTTACAATTAATAAATTTTAAAATACACAATTTTATTACAAGTTGCACATCATGACTAGAAATTTTGTGTCTCTTAATACATATTAAGGTAATTTAAAATCACAGTTGGTAAATAAGTTTAAGATTCAAACTTTTTCTCATTCCTAAAAAGGTGGCAAATCTTCCACCTTCTTGGTCATTACAACAAAAATATAATTAATGGTAGCCCATGTCCGTTGGTCTTGGACCACTTTTTGCAACTCACACCACCATGAAGTTATTACCAGTGGTTCCTCGGATTGATGGTTTCCTGCTGCTGATAATTTTTCATTAAATCTAAAATAATGGAAACTGGTTTTTTGATTTTTTAATTTACTCTAAAAAGATTTTACGTCAAATGGCTTTTGTGATACTTAATCAAACCTTTTTCCTTTTTTTAGATCGATTGCTGAAAGGTTTGATCTCTCCAAATCTAGCGTTTGTGATGTTGTGAAGAGAGTGTGCATGTCACTGATACAAAATTTATCAAGTGTAATAAAAATACCAACCTTAGATGAAATGCAAGTAATTGAAGAAGGCTTTCGATTGATGACCGGAATTCCAGGAATAATAGGAGCCATCGATGGTACCCAGATTCCTATAAAATGTCCACAAATTGCACCAGAAATATATGTAAATCAAAAGAAAACCCATTCTGTACATTTACAAGCAATTTGTGATCACAGGATGATTTTCTGGGATTGCTTTTGTGGGTACCCAGGATCTGTGCATGATGCTGAAATATTTCTGAACTCAGAGGCTAATGAGTTCCTCACGAGTGGAAATGTGCCCACAGAGTATCATATTTTAGGAGATGCTGGTTATCCTTTGATGGAACATGTGATGGTGCCATACACGGATAATGGTGAACTAAATGACATTCAAATTAAGTTTAATGAAAAGCAAAAAGAATCTAGGAGCATAATTAATAAAGCTTTAGCTTCTTTAAAAAATCGTTTCAAAAGGTTGACTCATATTGAAATAGATAGGACTGACAAAGTTCCTATGTATGTTCTTGCAGCATGCATACTTCATAATTTTTGCGTTCGGAGAAAAGACTATTTTCAGTGCTCAGAAGAGGATGAAGATTTTATGAACCAAGATATTTACGATGAAACTAATGATGAGACGGCTAGAATCAAACGTAATTATTTGGCTCATAGGCTTTATAAGAATTAATTATTGTATGTAAACATAGATGTTTGTTTTTGTACAGTGATATTTAATAATTAAGAGTTTTAATGTCTTGTAAAAATAAACTTTGTTTTTTATTTGAGCAAAATTTTTTGTGACTTTTACTATTTCGCCTCTTTTTAATGAAAAGTTTTCCTTTTTTTAACACAAGTATAAAACAGATATTTATTTTAGAAATACACTTTTACAAAGTATTTAAGATATTTTCCAACGTATAAGTGAACTCTTTTTGAACCCCTAAATCACAAATTCGGAAGAGCTGACTTATGTACCTGTAACGGATTTCAACTCTAAAAATTCTTCCTAATATTTTATGGTTTGTATGAAACCTAAGCCTAATCTAAACATAACTACAAAATTCTTACACTGCCGTACTATTAATTTAAATTCCTCAAACAGACGCCAAAAATTTCTCAGGATTGGAACATCAAACATCTTTAATTGAGAGTGAAAGAATAAACATTTACTCACATTAACAAAAGGAAGGGCTTAAAAAATCTGAGATATTAAAATTCTTTTTCAAAATAAATTTTATTTTCAAATATCTTTGGGAAAAAAAAAGAATTATATATTTGGCAGAAAATTGATTTTCTAACTAATATAAATATGTGGGTTAACTATACTCCAGAAAATTCATGTTTAGTCTGCTCTGTAAAGTGATATTTAGAATATGTTCAGAATGGTTTCAAGTTTTGAATCGGATACCTTAGTGATCATTTCGTTTTGGTGCTGACAGTTTGACAATAACCTGCTGACTGTATTAACCCTTAGATCTATATCGACAATAGGACTGGGCGATGTTAGAAATTATATATTGTGATGCGTCGTCAGTTTTGCATCGCGATATAATATTTTTGAATTTCATTTACTTGAAAGGAACAGAAAGTCATATTTCTATCAAAACTCCATACTCAGATTGATTTAAATCAATTTATAAATTTGAAGATTTATATGTTTTGCCTAAGAAAGATATTAAATAAATTGACTACACTGTACAAATCTTACTTAAAATATTTATTGAAATGTTTGTTTAGAAATTCTTAATACGCTTAAAACAAAGAGAAAAACTTTTTTTTTAAAGCGTTTTTTACAAATTAATATTTTCTTGTACTATTATGCATAAATAATTACATAATTATTAAGTTCGATCGTAATGTTCAATTTCTAAATGAAAAAGTAAATGCAAGTTTTGTTACATTTTCTAAAAATGATTACGCAAATAAACGAAAGATTTCTTAATTTAAAAATAAATAATAAAATAATAAATAAAATTGAAATTTATCAATATATTTACCTAACAGTATAGAAAGAAAATTTAAAGAATAAGTTCGTTAAAAATTATTTGTATGTTTAAAACAAAGTGCTAAATAAATTTTAGAAAAAAAAAACGCTTTTAAAACACTATTTTTTATTGTTATTATTGCAGATAAATAATTAAATTAAATTGAATTATGAACAAAGTAAGGTTTAATTTCTTAAAAATAAAAACAAAAGAATTGTGATATTCAATAATATATTTAGCTAATTAACAAATAATATGAAAAGAATATTTTTTAAAAAAATTATTACACTCTCTAATAAAACAAAGTGCTAAATGATCTAAAAAAAAGGAATAAAATACGCAAACCTTTCAAATTTTCTTGAATAAACATGTTGATTGACTTATGTCCATTTCCCAATGACAAAAAATAAGTTTTGTTTTAACTTTATTTCTAAAAATAAAAACAACAAGATTTATAAATTTAAAATCAGTAATAAAAACCTATTAAATTATTAGAAGTTTTATCCAAAAAGCTTTTAATAAATTAAAAGAAAGTAAAAAAATAACCTAGCAAATTTAATTCTTTATGGATGCGAGATTACGATGTATGTTTTAAAAACTCTGATTCTGCCGCTCACCAATTAAGGCCATTTCAACATAACGAAACGAACATCGTCTTCCACAGCGCTAGTCGACATCGGAACGTAAGAGAAGAGTCTTATATCGTTATCTTATATCCTTGCGCGTCTTATATCGTTTTGAGCTCGTTGTCTTTACTCGATGCTTCTGTTGGCCAAGACTCGACGGCTTAAATCAGATTTCTGATGCATCGCCTGGAATATGTCTCGATACATCGATTTATAGCCCAGTCCTAATCGACAATCTTATCTGCTGTTGAGAATTATAATAGACTTATACTAAATGTTCTACAACTTTAAAATTATACGTTAAAAAAAGTTGGTATTTTCAAGTTTTTTAATTAAAAATGTCTATCTCATTTCTGTTTTTGTAAAAAAATCCTTTTGTGGAATGTTAGTTAACTATAAATCATATACAAAATATAAATAGCAAGTGAAGTATGCAATTAAATTGTGTCACAAACTGATTTATTTACGTGTAATTAAAAACAGTTTTACAATAAACCCGGAATTAGTTGTTCACTTTCTTTAGAAAATGTTATTACTTTTCATATTTATGAGTGATTCAATGTTCTTGGAAAAATTTTCCTATATGTTGACAATGAAAGACAGCCAGAAATTGACAGTAAGATTACTTCTTATAACTTGAAAAAATTGTATTAACTACATATTTTAATTTTCTATTAATTTTAGTGGACCGAACATAGAAATGTCAGTAAAATAACAAATTTTATAATTTTAAAAAGACAAGTAAAATCGCCACTTCGAAAAATTCCAAGTCTTTATGATATAAAATCTAATTTTTTTTTTAATACAGTGGGTGATCAGCTAACGAACAAAAATCTGTTCCAAGACTGTTCGCTATCCGAATTGTTCGCTAACCGATCATCGATTCACCATAGACTGCTATGTGAAATCGATTAATTCGTTCTGGAGACCCTAAAAATTACATTTTTAAAAATGTATAATTTCTTAATAAGTTTTTAAAAAAATAATACATACATATAGTCTTGCATATTAATCAGTCCTTTTCATTTTTTGCTTATGGGGCGTAGAAGAACATGTCCAATGTCGATTACTTTTCGTTCTTTTTCAGGATTTTCCGGAAGTAATTATTAGCATTGTTGTTGTAAAGATCCCCAACACTACTGACATCAGTTTGGTTTAGGTGCCATTCTAAGACCATTGCTCTGACATCCTCCCACTTTTTCAAAAGATCTTTAATGGCAGATAATTTCGGCACTGGTCCTCTTCCTCTTGTTCAGAAGGAGACACATTTCTCTGTGTTTCTTGGTATTCTTCATTCAAAATTTCTGTGAGTTCTTCTGTCGTCAGTTCATCTTCATGTCTCATTATTAGCTCTTGTATGTCACCCTTCACCCCCAATTCCAGATCTCTAGCAGTTGTCAATTTTCATCCATAATTTCAGGGGTGTCACCCTGATCACCTCTGTCTCCTTGAATGCAGGATGGACACAGCTTCCGCCAAGCAGAAATCAACTGTCGCTGTGTGACTTCTGACCACGCCTTTTGAATGATATGAATAGCTTCAAGAATGTCAAATTTTTCTTTCCAAAACTTTTTTAAAGTCATTGTTGAGGAGAATTGACTTGCTTCAAAACAGCGCGCGAGTGCACAATTTCTCGAAATCCACAATTACCTCCTGATCCATCGGCTGAATCAACAAAGCCGTATTCGGAGGTAAAAATAACTGTCAGCCAGGGAAAGTCTGTCAACAAATTATCTTTAAGATCCTTTGGGTGTCCTGGTGCATTGTCCAATAGCAGCAGTGCTTTCAACGGCAAGTCATTGGTATCAAGGTAGTCCTTGATGCTCGGGGCACAAACTTTAAATAGCCATTTTAAGATACTGCGTGACCCATGCCCTCTGATTCGATCTCCACATTACTGGCAGTTTGCTCTTAATTATGGGATTTTCAGAGTGCTACACGAGAAGTGGTTTAAGCTGCATATCACCACTAGCGTTAGCTCCCAAAAGTAACGTCAATCGGTCTTTCGTAGGTTTATGCCCAGGAACACTTTTCTCATCTTTCATGATGTAGGTACGTTTCGGCATGCACTTCCAAAACAAACCAGTTTCATCACAATTAAATATTTGTTGTGGACGATACCCTTCTGTTTCAATGAATTCTTGAAATTTTAGACAGTACTTCTCAGCTGCGTCTTTATCTGCACTAGAAGACTCACCATGCATTAATACATGTTTAATTCCAGACCTTCTTATAAACTTTGTAAACCAGCCAGTGGTAGCCTTGAATTTTAACTCCTCGTATGACGAACCTGGAGTTTGTTCAGTTCAAATTAAGAAGCATCGCGAATAAAGGTTCGAATTAAGAAGCATGGCGAATAAATTAAGCGAATTAAGAATTCACTTAATTTATTCGTCATGTCAGCAAATCCTCTCACCCATAGCTTATCAGCTGTCAGAAAATATTGATATTCATATTGAAATTGAAGTATTCAAGTGTGTATTGATTTTAGTCATAATAATAATTATTGAATGACCTTTAAATTCAAGTTTCAGTTAAATTCAAGTTTCAAGCATAATTCAAGTTTCATTTAGTAATTATCAATACTAAGCATGCTTTAAACATTTCTCCTTTCAGGGATCTTATTTTGTATGCAAAATGATAATAAATGTTTAATATTAATTTTTTTTCAGGCCGAGAAGTGCTCGTTAGAATTTGTTTTGTTTATTATCCGAATATGTGTTCGTTGTCCGAACAGAAAAAATCTTTCTTGAAAGTGTTCGTAATCCGAATATGTGTTCGTTGTCCGAACACGAAAAATCTTTCTTGGAAGTGTTCGTTATCCTAATATGTGTCCGTTATCCGAATATGTGTTTGTTATCCGAACACAAAAATCTTTCGTGAAAGTGTTCGTTAACCGATCACCCACTGTACTCATACTTAAAAAGCTGATCCTCAGCCTCCCGGTTTTTGTGTAAATTGTCAAATAACATATGAATCTTAACTTGTAACAGAGGATAAAATTTATGTGGTAAAACAACTTATACTTTTTAACAAAATAACTGAAGCACACAAATAAAATAAAAATATTTAATATGAAATTCACAAATTTTATTAATTAAACACTGTTCTAATGATTAACATACATCTTACTTGAAATCTATTAATGAACGAATCTTTCTGCAAAATGCATGATTTCAAACATGACCTAGAATGAAAAAGTAAAATGTCATTCATGAATATTAAAATTATACAAGTGGTGTTACAATTATATCCAATGGAATAGAGTTATGAAATGCACACACCAACTAAATTACGTACAACACATTTAATTAACATATAATTCATAGATTTTTTAATACATAATAGATAACATCAGAACTTAAAAGCAATTGTACATACAACACAAATAGTTGAACAAGCATAACAAATCTATAGTGTATTAGAAAAGTTTAATACAACCTAAAACAAACTTTTCTACAGCTAGTATAAAACGTTTCATTTAAATTTAACGTTTCATTTCATTTTTAAATTGTCTTATAATCGACTGACAAAAGTTGTTAAGTTTTAGAAGTGAGCTTTTATAATAGTGATTTATTGCATTTGCTGCAATCTAAAAAACTAGCTTCTCACTGAAGTTATTCACTATTTTTAATAATATTTTTATAATCATGTGAATCTTTCTGCAGTAACAGAATTAAATATTCAATGAAAAAATCAATTGCAGCAAAAATTCTAAGGAAATAAAATTTTTATAGTTTAAGAAATAAACTGTCTAGATCTACAAATACAGATTGCAAATTTTATCACCCTCGCTTTTGACAAATAGTTGGAAGAAGCATAATAAATCTACAATATACAAGAAAAGTGTTTAATACACCCTAAAACAAAAATGTCTACGTTGCTGCAGCCAATATAAAACTTATTACATTTTTAAATTGTCTCATTAATGGGACTGATAAAAGTTGTTAAGTTTTAGGAGCCAGCTTCTATGATAGTGACTAATTGCATTTATTGTGATAAAAAAAGCTAGCTTCTCATAGAGATCTTTGACTATTTTTTGAGGGGGGGGGAGGTCATGTGAGTCTTTCTGCAGTAACAGAGTTAAGTATTCATTAAAAAAATCAAATTCAGCAAAAATTTTAAGGAAAAATTTTTTATTAAATAATAATTTTAAAAACTAAACTATAAAAATAGGTAAATTAATATTGTTCATTTTAAAACAAACATTAAATGGTTAGGTTTAACAGTTAGGCGCCAAGGGGTTTTTCTAATCATCTAAGCAATCTGGCACTCAAGATTTGATGGTCCCTGCTCATAAATATTACCAACTTAAAGTACTATGACATGCACTAATACATACATTTTTCTGATTTAAAATACTTATTTGATAAGGATATTTACCTCGACCATAATTAATATAATTATCATCCATTCAAGTCTAACATGATGCTTATCATTCATATGATTACCTAGCAGATCAATTAATTCAGAACAATAACTTAAGCGCTCATTCATAACCTGAAAAAGAAACAGTTATTTAGTAATAATTTATGTATAAAAAAAGTATATCAATAGATAATAAAGAAGAAAAAAAACTATAGAAAACCCAACTAGGTAGAACACAGTGGTCAGAAAAAAGAACATTATATAAGTAGTTAACTACAACTACTTAATTACAAACACAGTTAATTACAGCAACAACTACTTTTTTGTAAATGTAGCAACTACAAACTACTTTTGAATTGTAGCTATTACTTCACAACTTTTAGGAGATGAACTTTGCTGGCTTATTTAAACAACTGAAATTAAGAAGTATTTATTCTTGTTTACATGAGCCAGTTAGTTATTCTAATCCATTTCTTGACAGACAGTGAATATTTAATTTAAAAAGTGCTAGAAAATCATCAAATATTTGCAATTTTGTTAGTGCTATAAGCTCTTTTATATTTCCTCTAAGAAATTAAGTTATCAAAAATTATATACAGGGTATCTGCTACATTTTAGTTATCTAAATTCATGACTAATTCCAAGAATTTTTCATGACTTAACGAAGTTACTATTTTCTCCGACAAAAACACAACAATAAATTTAAAAAAGCATTATTATAACATTCATTGAAGTGATAGGTATTACCAAAACTGCTATATTCTGCATCTTCATATTTATAGATTTTAAATTTAAAAAACAGAGTAAAGAAAGAGTTGACGCACTAAAATAGCTGAAAAAAATACAAAAGCAAATAATTTTCTTTCTGCAGAATTACATTCTAAAGATAATTTTCTTGTTCATCGGAAAGGAAATAAATACTCCTGAGTTTTCTATTCTCATTTCAGAATAAAAAAATAGAAATAATAACAAAAATTCTAAATTAACAGTTTAAAAGATATTGGCTCTAGAAATGATGTTTTTTTCCTTTATTTTTTGAAAGAACACCAAAATTTTTAAAGAACACAATAAAAACATTTTATATTTTAATCAAATATGACTGTGAGTGGGGATTTTGTTTCAAATTCAGATATTCGGAACACCTTGAAATTGAGGGAGGGGGCAAATTCCATGTTAAAAATAAAATTTTTCAGCGACCTAAATCCATGACTTTTTATTATTTTTTTTAAAAATAGTTAAAATTAATGACATTTCATGACAAATTTTGTTCAATACCGAAATCCATGATTTTTCATGACTTTCCAGGTGCGCAGATACCCTACATATATAAACAAATATGTTTCCTTCCATTGAAATAACATTGATGTTTCATGAATGTACACAAGGTGTGGCCAGTTATAAATTAACTATTATTCATAATGGTAAATTTAAATATTAGTAATACACGATTCTTAATTACACTTGGTACAAAAGGTATTCTAAAAATGAAATAAAAAGTTTTTCGTACACAAGGGGAAAAAAACTAATGCATATCACAGAAAATTGTGAAATATATGTTAGACATAGATAATAATCATAGACAGCATATAGGTGTCAAGCCATATGTTATGTCTGTCTAAGATTCAATAAAAAAGCTCTCCCACCTCGGAAAAAAAAAGACTAATATAACATAATTCTCAAAATATAAATCTCCAGACATCTAAAAATAATAAATAAAAAAATGAATAAAAATAAAATGTTGTAACATTAGGCTAAAATGACAAATCAATAAACATTAAGTAAAAGTAATTGTAAAAAGAAGCATAAATAATTTGTATGTAATAGAATATAAAGTTGAAAAAGTATTTAATTTAAAAAATTTTTAAATTAATATAGATTAAAAAACAAATAAGTAAAAGTGTATTTGTAACATAATTATTTTTTATTATTACTGATAAAGATATATAGCAAGCAAGTTATGAAGGCTTTGAAAATATTTTAGAATGTTGAAAAAAAATATTTGTCATTATAACTATTTATTTTTACCAAAATAACATTAAAAAATATTAATAAAGTAGTAAATAACTTATTTACAAACCTTTGTTCGTTTGGCTATGTTTAAATGATTACAAGTCTGCTGGTATAAAACTTCTAATTCTTGGCGATCCCAATAAAAATCTGGAGTATCAAGCAAATCAGAACTAAGGTTAATGACGTGTCTACAATAAATGAGAGAAATTTTAATTATCATTTCAAGCAATCATAATTGTGGTTTTTTTCTTTATACTTAAAAAATATTATTTACCTTAGTGCAAATAATTCCCCTCTCTTTTTAAATACTTGATTCCTAGACATTTTAATATGATCTCCTTTCTTCATGCTCTGAAAAGTTTAAGAATATTTAGATAAATATAAAAATTTACAACATGATTAAAAAAGCAAAAATAATTTTCTTTTAATAACAAATAATTAATATTATAATTAATTTACATATATTATAATTAATTTATATATATATTTAAATACTTTAGATTCACATGGACTAAAAATAACTACATTGGTTTCATAATATTTCAAAGAATAATTTTCAATATTATCTTAACCTTTATCTCTCTTTCTTTATTATTTATCATTTTTAAACTAACTTAAGTGTATGATGCTAAAATATTTTTTAAATATAAAAATCTATTAAACCAAACTTAAATCAGTTTTTCCTTAATTTCCAGTTATTTATTGTTTTGCTTGCAAATAGTTAACTGTATAAAGCCTTAACAATAATAAAGCTTTGATAACAACTTATTTAACATACAATAAACAAGTGGGATCAATGGATGCCTCACTGGCAGCCCTACTTTGGTATTTGTGTGGTATCAATGAATGCTCAGCTCAATGAATGGCTCAGCTCAATGAATGGCTCAGCTCAATGAATTGCTCAGCTCATGAATTCAATAATACTGAGAAACTCAATTAAGGGCCACACTACAACATTGAACACATAGACATTTAAAACCCACAATTTGTGGCGAACTATGCATGTTAGCTACATTAATATAATTGCTCTACACCCATGTTTAACATGTTAAGTTCTTCTTTCACAATCAAATAGCTCTTTTTGAAAAAACTGTTTTACACAATTTATAAATAAAAAATGAATATTTAGTCTTAATTTGAATGCAAGAGGCCATTTTGAATCTGTCTAATAGATATTATTTATTTTTTATAATATATAAGCATTTGAATTCAGAGTAAAATAATTCTACTTTATTTATGCGCGTATATGAAATTACAATATCATAGATTTTAAATATAATACCTCTGTTAACCATTCCATGCTATCAATATAGCTCTCCAAAGATGCTTCCCACATAGCCAATTTAACTAAACAAAAATCGCATAATTTATACAACAGAGTAAGCAATCTAAATAAATAAAAGAGAAAAGGAAATAGGAGAAAAAATAAGATATGCATACTAAGATAATTTTTAAATACATTTTCTTAATTCCTACAGGGACTGTTAAAATAACTATTGTATTTTACAAAATATTACGATTAACATAAGTAAATCTGAAGGGGGCATTTGAGAAAGCCACATTGCCCTTTAGTTTTTTATAAAATCCAATGTTTGTAGTATTTACAATGTTCAATTAATTGTAAAATTTTAGACTTTCAAATTGTAACTACAGGCTAGATCAAGAAAAGAAAAGCCTAATGAAAAACATTGATATGGTTGCTAGTATTCTTATTGAAATTTTGAATATTTAATTTTGAAATGAATAAAAATTAATATATACATGGGGTGTTCTTNATTTACAGGAAGGGTCTCTTTACCAGACACTTTTTAACATTCAAAATAAACAAAACTCTCCCTTTTCAAAAAAATTTTTTTTTGCGTTTGCGAGTTGTTAAAAAAAAAGTATGCAGGGATAAGAAACCTCTACTATATTGCTTCTCCGACTTTTTTTGTTCGATTATATATATATATATAACGTCGTTGCCGAGCGGAAGGATTAAAACAGGTCATAGGTCAGGAAGGAGGGTACAAAATGTATTTATTAATTATTAGACAACAGCAGTCATGAGAGTGAGTAAAAGTGCGCATGAAAAGTTGCGCTCCTTGGTTATATGTTAGGGAAAATCTTGCAAAATAAAATCCGTAAAATGTCTTAAATTTAGGGAAAGAGGGAAATCTTAGTAGTTGCTATTGGTTTATGAAATAGATCGAGCATTTCCCACACAGAGCAAAGGGAAAAATGTCCTGCTTTTAATTAAATGCATACTTGTGCCAAAAATAAATTTAAGAACAGGATGTGGCTTTTAAAAGTGTGAGAAAGTATTTCGATTAGAATAATTAATTAGGATGAAGTTTTATANTATATATATATATATATATATATATATATATATATATGTATATATATATATAGCCATATATATATATATATATATATGGCTGATCACATAATCTAAAATTATTATTTTTGTCTAACATATTTAAACAAATTTTACAACTAAACTTTGAGATTTTTAGTCATACGAGACTCAATTCTCTTCATTTTTACTTTTATCTAAGCATTTTGTGATACATTTACTTGTACTAAAAATGCTCATTTGAAACTGCTTTGTAAATATAAAAAAAAAATAGTTATTTTTCTAATTTGCATTTGTCGATCAGCTAAAGAAATACAATGGACAATTAACAAAATGCTCTTATAAATTCATCCTGATACCAGACTTGCATTATATCAACAAAAGAAGCCATGAATTTAAATTAAATAAAAAACTTTACTTTAAAGTGGTTTAAATTAGGAGAATTTTAAACCAAAACTAGTCAAAAACAACAGTTTTTATAGCACTGACTAGTTATTTACGTTGAAAAAAATGTGCATAAAATGCTATAAATTTTCAGAATTCCCCTTCCCCCTGAAAATTTTTTATGACAACACTGACAATCAATTAAATCATTTATAGGTTTGGATAATGCTTAGATATATTTAAAATTTAATTGAAATTAAAATTGTTAATTAAATTAAAAAATTATATTTTATGTGAGTTTTTTGATGGAAATGGGACTGATTTATTTAATATTTAGAAAAAAAAATACCTTCAGCTTGGGTAGAAAAAAATAATTTCAGCTCATTATAGAAAATACAGAAATGGTAAAGTTATTACACAATCATTAAGTATACTAATGGACTAATAATATAGACCATCAGGCATAGAAATTTGGTTAAATCAAGTAAAAGCTGTAACTTGTTCCTAAGAAGGATTAAAAATCAGGTTGCAGTTTGCAAATTATTCATTTTTATACTGTAATTTTTAATGAATAGATAGGTGTTTCAGTTAAGGTGTACAAAGGCACAAATTAATATTCAAAATAAAATCACCTCAAAATCTTTTGATAGTTTAGTGAGATTAATGAAACTAAGTGAAGTGATTTTTGAAACTAAGTGCCTAAAAAAGAATTAATAAAAAAATTACTAAGTAAAGTTAACAATAATTTAAATTAAATTTGACAGAAAACACTACCTGAAAGAGCAAGACTGTTTGAAAATGTATATGTATCAAGATTAATGTCTCCTAGGGAATTTAAGTTTATTCTTCCTTTGGAAAATTTTGTTCCTTTTCTAAAAAAGAAAAAAGTACAGCAGATTAATAACAGAACTAATAACATACAGAAAATCTAAATAACACATAATTAATTTTAATGCTGAATAAAATTACAAATTACACTATATGTAATTATATAATACAAATTACAGTAATACAAAATACAAACTACATATTATGTAATACAAATTACATTATATGTAAATTCAATTAATATTACAAATGTATCATTTATAAGCATTAGTTCATAGTCAAGCAATTCAAATTTTAAATGCTGAAAAACATGTTTAACTAAACATACAATGATTAATAGTTAATAGCTATATTTCTTTTAAATTTCGAAAAAAAAATGCTTAGTAATCAATTAAGTATGGAGGAATTTGCTCAGTTTGCAGTTGTATGAAGTCGTTTATAAATGTGAATTTAGAAATAAAGTGCATGTTATGAATGTAAACATTAAAAATAGAATATATAATTTGCAGATGAACAAATATCGTATAATTCTTTGCAGGCATCAAGACATTAACAAGAGGAGATCAAAATAAACCAGTTTATTTGAAATGTAAAATAACAGTATATAAATATCTATTTGTGCTGTTTAAAAGCAATTTTATTAGCAATTATTGTTATATTTTTTTAGCAATTATTATTAGCAATTTTATAACCCAAAACTATATTTCTTCCTTAATTTTTTAAGTTTCTTAATAAGTATGGCAGCAGAAATTTTCACAGGTAGGTGCAATCAGAGAAAATATTCCATTTATTTCTTTTATTGTTGTATCTTTGAAAAATATATACTGTAGGCAACAGAAATTTTGACAAACAATAATTTAATTAAAGCTATTACAACATTTAAATTTAAAAAGAAAATAACAAAAATCATCATTTATTTAAATTGTTTAAATTAAATACCTTATGAACACAAAAGAAAAAACAGTGAGTTTTAATCTTTTGTAAATTTTAAGTTTACAGTTAAAATATTCATTTTTATATATCTTTGAATATATGTCACAAGATTATAGGATTAAATTTAACAGCTTTTGTGTCTGGTTTATAAATTAAAGTATATTCAAAAACACATTTAACAAACACTATTTTTTCTTATTTAAAATACAATGATAAATAATAATTAAAAGCAAAATGTAATTTTTGATTTATTGGATTTCCAAGGGGACCTCGACCCACCTTACAGATATAGACACCCATGAAAAATAACATCCCATATTGAAAAAAGAGTAACTATTTTAGTGATTTAAATAATCAGGTTATTTGAATCATTCATTAGAACTTAATACAAATGAAAAATGAGTGTCAATAATAAGTTAGTAACTTTTATGTAGAAACTATGATCACTAAAAGACATACATGCAAGCTTTTCACAAAATAATCTATTACTTTAACAAACTTACTCTGAAAATACATAATCCATATCTTCTTTTTCAGCATTTACAAGATTAATGTCATAGGAGTTGGTTTCAAATGGTTTTAGAAATCGCAGTACATTTTGTTGCTGAAAGCACAACAGAAACTTTAAAAAGTTAATCTTTTTTTTTTTTTTAAAAAAAAGAGTGTTTAAAATACATAACTCAATTTACCTCAAGATCAGGCACATTCCAGAATACAACACTTCCCTCACTGCAAAAACAATAAAATATTAAAGCACCTGTTTATTTTAAATTGAAGCAATAAACAAATCTAATTGACAATTCAAAAATAAAGCAATTTAATTATAATAAAATTTGCGGTTAGATTTAGAGAAGTTCTAGACAGAATTCGGAAAAATTACTTGTGATTTACAGTTCAAAACTATTCAACAAAGGTATGTTATGAGGTTCAAAACTTATAATTATAAAAATAGTTAAAAATACATATTTTCTTTTTCTTTCTTTGTGATATCTTTCTTTCTTTGTCTTTCTTGTATCATATTTTAAAATAAAAAAGATATAAGCAATATAAAATAAAAAACATGACAAACACATCAAATTCATTGCTCTTTAAATCCACAGTTTCAAATAAACATTTTTAATGGTCCACTATCAAAATTAGATCATAATGAAACAACAAAAAAATAAAAATAAACTTCAGAAAATGTTTTGTTGCAACATCACAGTGCAGCATCCTTAATGCTATTTCATGTCTGTTTGACAGCTAAATGCTTATAATGGACTAAAAAGTTAAGCGACAATTCTACAAACAAACTTTATTAAATACAGTTATTATTAACTTTATAATTACTAAATTTAAAAAATAATGTCTTTATTAACCATTACATAACTGATATTTTTTCCAGAAATAAAAATATCTTTAAGAGATGAAATACTCACGCACAGCTTTACCTAAAAAAATATATATGACGTGGATCTTGTCCAAGTGTGTATTTTGCAGTCACATGAATAACATTTTCAGCATCATCTGGAAGAGGTTGACGGACATAAAGACCCTGTTTATCTAATTCTTTTATTAATCTAGGCATATCATATTCTTCTGCTGAACTAAAGGCATTAACTAACCAGGTTTTCTAAGAGAAAAAAAAATTATAACTTTCTAAGCTTTGAAATTGCATTCAAAAGCAATACAAATTTAAAAGCAATCAAAGAACTTAAAATTGAAAATGCACCACTTATAACAATCATGTGTGCACATCACATTGCCTATTACTAATTTTAAATATTCAAAATTTAAATGAATCAAATGATTAAACAGCTAAGAACTCTAAAACTAAATTTTATAAAATGCTAATAATAAATAAATAATAAAGTTTTGCATAAAATAGTAGCATAAATTAATTGCAAGCACATCATATTGTTTACAATTGATTTATAATATCAAAAACACACTACTCTTAAAATCACATTTTAAGAGTAAACTCACAAATTTTCAATGCATAATAAACGTGAAAAAGCAATCTAAAACATTAGTTTTCTATTTTCTGACAGCAACAGTTGCCATAGCAATGCATGTTCTGGTTGCTCCGGAACAATACAGAATAAATAAATAAATAGGATCTTATTTTTAAATCAGCAATAAGAAAAATTAAAAAGCAATTACCAAAAAATTTAAAATCAGCTCACACATTCTCCTATTCTTCATTATTCTGATATCTCCTACTTTTAAAACCTTACGTTTTCAAGAGTGAAAATGATGAGAGAGAGAGGGAAATTATTAATTGTAATTTTATAATTTTTACAAAAGACTGTTATTCCCAAGTCAGTTGCACAAAAGTCATTATTTTATGGCTTTTGTAATAGAAAAGAGAAACCATCCATCACATTACGTTAGCTTTACATTTTTGCCATCTGTTTTCTACCCATATTGTCTATTTTTAAAGTACCATTGATGTCATAATATAAAAATTAATTGCAACAGAAAATAAAAATATTAAATTTTGGTGAATCAATTCAATAAAGTAGAATTTTCAATTACAAGGAGAAGTAGGGGAAAAAATAACAAAATATGCTGCACATAGCAAAATTTAAGATTTAAGTTTATAAATACTGTGGCAATGTGAAAACATTTCTTAAATATAGGTTAGCTAATTTTAGTTTTTACATTTCATCAGAATTATTCATTAAAAAAAAAAACACTCATAATGTATAGGTGGAGGAAATGGTAAAACAAGGGAAGAGAGGGGCTTAAACTTTAGAAAAATATGTTCTAATATTTTAATAATACTATTTCAAATACAGAAATAAAATAATAATAATAATAAAAAACATAAACTAAAACCTGATCAAGCTGTTCAGAGAGAGTTTTCTTTCTAGGGACTCTTTTCTTTGCTTGAAGAGCTGCTATACTCTTTTGTACTCCCACATCCTCGGGAGTATTTAAAACTGCACTTGTACAGAAACTATGAGTGACATAAGGATATTTTGTAAGATACCTCTTAGTCTGACCACCTAAAAAATATATATAGGTAAATAAATATTTATAATAAAGTGATTGCTGTTTTTTGGAATTTAAAAAATATGATTTGAATGAAAATTATGGAATTTAACATCATAGTAATAAAAATTTGTTTCGAAAATATTTAGACGGTCATAATATACAAAAATACAGAAAGATCATGCTGAGAATTAAAAGAAGGTAGTAAATAATTTAAATTATTTTTACTCATGAGGAATATATATATNTTTTTACCAGGTATTTGCCACTGTCCTGGCAAAAACCCCTTTTTGCCGGCAAAAACTCCAACCCTGATATATATATCACTTTTTTTACTCATTTAAAATTTTCATCAAAAATCATTTAAGATCACATTTTATATTTTAATAAAAAGCAATATTTTATAACACCAAATTTAAAACTACCAGATTTTCAATTAAATAATTACTACGGCATTTCCAAAAATAATTAATAAAAGATATTTTAAGCAGTTATTACGATTTATTCATAATTTCACTACACAAATCAAAATGTTTTATACAATCAAGAGTTAAATTTACTTTAGACCAACATTTTTAAAGAACCAATAAAACTATAAAAAGGTATTTACAAAGTCAATACCTATACTCTGACCCTCCCCCTTATTAACAAATAGTTTTAGTACTTTTTGGTCAGCCGAGCACAAGGGCAGCAAAAAATTTAAAACCTCCTCCAATTTTTTTTTTCTTTCAAATTCATAAAAATTAAATAGGATAAGAAATCTAAAAAAAATGGTTGAACTTCCTTGCCTCTGATTAACGGAAAAATAATCTATTTCTAACAAAAAAGCTAAATTTTAAAAAAATGCACATAGTATTGAACTCTATTTTGGAAATAAAACTGTTTAATGTACAAAGCATAACACTTTTTATTTAAAATCTATGATTCAATTCTCAACTGCGACAGACTCAACAAACGTGCTCCATACACAAAGAATCGTAATTATTATTTGGGTTTATAATGCCAAAATTCTAAAATACAAATCCAATGATTTCAAACATAAACTAAACTGTAGTTCAAATTTAGGACAGTAAAATTCCAAATCTAAAAAACTAGGTATTTTTTTTACTTACCAGCTAATTCTTTTGTAAAATAGTTACAAGTCATGAACATATTGCCTGATGAGCCAAAAATGCGGCGAAATACTTTACTAGAAATCATACTGCAAGAGAAATTTTTATGAGTAAAAAAAATAAAGTATAGTAAAGCATACATTGAAGCCTTAAATTATAAATACATAGAAGATAAAAGGCAAAAATTATAACTTTTCAAATAAGGAAAGGTCTATGTAACATTTTGATTAGTTACTTTATCAATATATCTGTCGTTTCTTTTAAAAATAAATTAAACTGAACAAGCTTTATTTATGTCACTAGAATGTTTTGATTTTTCTACATAATCTTTAAAAAGTTTTACAGTTTTTATTATTTATTTAAATAAGCTGATCAATCAAACAGCGAAATTTCATCATCAAAACAGGCCGACATGCATGTGTAAATAAATATAAATATAGCGTCGTTGTTGCCATAGTAGCAAAGCAATTACGCAAACTGGTTTTGTAGCAGACGAAAGCCATAACCTTTTCTTTTTAAAAAAAGAGAAAAGATTCTTGTGCCATTAATTTCTATGACTAAGTATCAAAAAAGTAGAACTTGTAAGTAAAAATTGACTCCTTTATTTAATGATCTGGAAAGAGAGACAATTTTCGGGATTGGTGTTTCGTGAGTGGAGCGTGGCAGTGGTGGTTTTGCGTGGCAAGTTTGTTTAGTAGGCCGACGAGTGTTTATTTTGGTTTCAGTATTACAACTAAAGAGAATTTTAAGTAAAATTATCTTCATATTTATTAAAAATGACTTCAGTTTCAAATGGAGAAATCCCTGCAAAGCAAAAGGTAAATCATTATTTTAACTTTCTAACTCTAGAAAATCTTGTGCATGTTAGTAACACGTGTATTTGATATATATAAGCTGAAATCATCATATCCCATCTTAAGCTTTATGCATATAAATTAACGTATTATTTTCCGACTTTGTCTTCAAATATGCTACAACAAATTTGTTTAAATTTAACTTTGGAAAATAAAGGTCGTTTTATTCACTAATTTTGAAATTAAGTCAAAACAATTATTATGTACAGATTGGTTGAAAATTAAGACAATGGTTAGATTCAGTGTTTATTTATTTTTTAATTTATGGAGAACATTAACATCGTTTTAAGAGAAATGTAAACCTTAATTTTAATTTTATTAATTTGATGTAAAGTCGTATGTCGTTAATATTACGCTGATTTTGTTGGTACGTTTAGTAGTTTTCAAGTTATCTAAATGAATTCAATAATTATATGTGAATGTTTTATTTTTCTGATTTAAATTATGGCCCTGAAAGGTTCATTTTCTAATTCATAGATCATGTGAAAGGATTGGTTGGGTTCGCATAGTATTTCCTTTAATATGAAGATTTTGTGTAAAGTTCCAGTTTTGTTATCATCATTGTATAAACAGACTCTCCCATCACTCACATATTGTCGCTTGATGTCTCAAAATTTAGAGGTACTTGATGTATATGCTATTTTAAACTAGAAAAAGGGGTAAATTTTTGTATCATGATCTGTAGCGCCAACTACAATCGCCAAGATGCCAAATAGATTTTAAACTTGCAAATGTTTAGATGTTTGCCCGGGAGTGACTATGAGTTATTTTTTTCTAGTTGGTTCCTTCCTGTGATGTTTTTTTTTAGTTTCTTGCGGGCCGCTGCCTGGAAGTTGCAAGACTTGGCAAAAATTCTGCCACAGATCATGATATGGAAATCTCCACCTGCATAGATAGTATTTCTTTATATTAAAATATTTTCGTTCTTTATAACTTCTTTTGCCACCCCCGAGCAAACATCTGCATGTTTGTTCTTTTTAAATTTGAAAGTTTAAAATCAATTTGGCATCTTGGCGATTGTAGTTGGCGTGACAGATCACAATACGAAAATGTCCCCGGAAAAAGTATAATATATTTATTGTTATTCAGGGATGCACAACTTTTGGCCCCTGAGCCAAAACTGGCTTCAAAGCCTCTGAACGGTTTTAAATATCAAAATATATTAAATATTTTTAATAAAAATAAGAAAAAGAAATTTTTTTTTAGCCTTGGAAAAAAAAGTGCTGCTGTATTAGGAAGTTAATTTGCCCCCAAAAAATTTTTTTATTGATCATCCTGATTTTTCATTTATTTATTGTTTTAAAATAACTCTGCACTTAACTGTTATAATTTCTTTTTAGAAGATTTATTTATAGCTATAATTTCAGTGCTTGCACAGAAATTTAATATTCTGCAAATTTTAAATATTACAATATATTTATGTTGCTTTCAATTTAGATCTAAATACACCTTAATTTTTTATAATTATAGTTTTATGTTGCTCATATTGACCCTCAACATAGCATTTTTTTAGTTTATATGACCTGCTATTGTAAAAGGTTGTGCAGATCTGCTATAATAAATAATTTTGGAAAGATTTCCGTATCGTTATCTGCTGCAGATTAAAGTCTTGGTCACTTCCTGGCAGCTACCTGCAAGAAACTAAGATAAAAACATCGCAGAAGGGGCCCATTTCGAAGGGTATAGCTCCTCAAAGCGATCCCGAGCAAACCTGTACATTATTATTTTTTTAAATTTGCAAGTTTAAAATCCATTTTACAGTGTGGCAATTGTAGTTGATGCTACAGATCCCAATATTAAAATATCCCAATCATTTTCATTAATTTAATTATTAAAAATGCACGCTTGTGTAAGTATGGTCCACTTTCTTTTCACTGATTGTATTTTATTCAACAAACTGTCAAAAGAAATTTTTCGGGAGGATTTTCGTAGCGTGATCTGTGAACAGAATAATCCCCAAGTCTTGGCAGCTTTTGGATAGTAGCCCGTGAGAAACTTATAACTACTAATTACAGAAGGCAATCATCTCGCTATCCTCAGGCAAACCTTTACAAAACATGTGAGTTTAAAATCCATTTAGCGATTGTAGTTGGCATGAGAGATCACAATATAGAGATATCCCTAATAATTTTTAAGCATTGTTTAGAAATCTGACAGATATTGATAATTTTATCTGTGGTTTGAAGTGGGGTGTATGATAAAAACCTTAAATATTATATTTTTGTAGTGATAGGTATAAATATTAGAACGTATTGAAGTACCCATAAAATACATTAAAGACATGTGCCTTTATTTTCTTTTTATGCTTATTACTTTTTTATAAAATGTAATGTATTTAATGTTCTAAACTAGTTTGCTCCAATCAAACTGCTATCATGTATTTCATACCACAACAAAAAAAATATGGAGTTCTCTTACAGCAGAGGTGGACTGTTGTTTGTTTTAACGCACCTTCTAAATTTATTTCATTCAGTTCTAAATATTAGAGCAAAAAACAGTACACAATAAATAAATGACACAATAAATGTATTTATTGTGTCATAAAAATTTATTTTATGTAATAATGGCAGTTTCATTCAATTTATTAATTATGCTAATTTCGTATCATCTACGACTGTAAACGGGCTTGATTTTTTATTTAGTTAAATGAGGCAAATGTACCTTATCATACTTAGCTAGAATTTTTAATGAGGTTGCAAAACCTGCACAAAATTTGTCTTAATCCAAAAAGTTGTGGGTATATATATGTTGTATATAATAATACTGGAAACATGTTTTTTTATTTTTTTTATGTATATTAAAATATGAATTCATCATAATAGTAAACAAGTACATTTTTTAAAGAAAAATAAATGGTTTTAAATTTTTTAAACTGTTTTAGTATCTTATTAGCTTTGCGTAATCTAAATTATTAGTTATTTACATTTTTTCCCTGTACGAAATGTGGGTATTAGGCCTTCCTCATTTAACATATCTTTTTTATGACTTTCTTCTCATGTAATTTATGCATTTCATATTAATTTCTCTTAAAACAGTCTTTCTGGTTTGTTAAGTTGACTTTACTAGAAGTACGTAATATATGTAACTTGTTTAATCCACATGGGGTTAGTATCATATGAAAAAATAGAACTGTGTTGTAAAGTAGTATTATAAGGTTAATAACTCTTTAAAGTAGTTAAAGTTTGATGAATTACTTTAAGAATTGGTATATTAAAATTGACAGTAAAACTTATTGTTATATTTATTTTCTTCTAGTCTAAGAAAAAGGCTCCTAAAAATGAACAAGAAGCTGAAGATCAACAAAAATTTGTCCTCAAAACAGCAAAAGGGACCAGAGATTATGGCCCCATTGAAATGGCTGTCAAAGAAAAATCTTTTAAGAAAATAATTGATTGTTTTAAAAGACATGGAGCTGAAACAATAGATACTCCAATTTTTGAACTAAAAGTATGTATTGCTGCTTGTGAATGTTTTAACATGGAAGCATTTTTCTATAATTCAATGTATTTACATTGGTTTCAATATTTTAATTATTCATGATGGATATTGAAATTACATCTCAGTTTATTATTATATTATACAAACAAATGCAAATATTATACAAACAATTGCTATACGAACAATTAAAAATATTAGTTTTCATAGTGACTGTCCTGTTGGATCTTCTGTAACTTTATTGTAGATAGGGGTACACAACCTTTTTGAATGAAGGGCTTTAGGCACAGCAGATTTGATCATTGAAGGGCTATCTGCCTATGTGTTTAGATAGACATATTGATAGCAATTATAGGTAGTAATTGTTATAGAAACATCATTATTCTAGGCACTAAATTCTTTTTACAAGTTAAATTAAAAATAATAAAATTCTTAGATAATGTAATTTATGGGCGAAAATTTTATAAAGCTAAGTAATCAACATAGAAGAAATGTTTTTTCAATTATCAATAACGAATCTAGAAACAATTAAATTGAGTTGTTTCTTATTTAAAAAAATTTTGTAGTGATCTTGCTTTGGTTTTCGCAATCAACCAGATTTAACAAGCTTGTTCTATTTTTCAAGCCACTAATTATGTTCAAAAACTCCTAGTTATGTATTCTCTTAAGTCTTGAGAGAAATCAAATATATTTCATGTCTTTTCAGGCGATGCAATTTTTATCAATGTAATACTATTTGCAAATTTAAATGGCTGTTAAAACTGGCTGTTACAGCTGTAATACAATATGTTACTCAAGAAAAATAGGGTATAATTTGTAACGCAAAAAACATAGTGAATGAAGCACAATTTCTATAATATAATTAATTTTCCATTCTTTATTTTATTTTTTTATTTATTTTTATTTTTTGCTTTAACAATATGCTACATCTGTATTTTATAAAATGTTGTTTAGATAATACTAGAGAATAACTTTTTTCCTCGCTATATGAGATTTTTTAACAAATCTTAGATACTTTCGTATCGCCGGTTTCAAATCTAATCAAATCTCCAAGCTGCATTTTTATTAATGACATTTTTAGTTTATTTTTTGTTGAAATGTACAAGTTTAAAAATGTTTTATATAACAGGGGGTCACGTAAATGTTGTGATAAACTTCTAGGGGAATTAAGGAACATCATCATGATAGAAATGACGTAAGAACCCATGCCCAAAATGTCATTATGTGAGTTTAGCAGTGCTTCCCTATTATGAACTGTTTCTTCTGCGCTTCTAAATAAGTCACAATACAGAAGCATTCCTGGCCGTGTACGACAACATTTCTGAACATGGGTTCCTATAACTTTTAATCCTGATTGTGTGCCACAACTCCTCTAGAAATTTGCCACAATATTTACGCAATCCTCTAAAGTATATGTATGTCCAATTTGTCAAAAAATAGACTAAAAATGTCATTTTGAAAATCTGTAGCTTTAATAGCATAACTAATTTCAAATTTGAAACCCCATGACCACATTTGTATAAATACAACAAAAAATTTGCAGTAATTTGCAACAATTTAGTGTAATTTCCTAAATTATTATACATTTTGTGAATTAATAAATAATTTTGTTGTAACTCTTTTGAAAAGTCATGTTGCTGTTTCAAGTCATTAAAAAAAATTTTTTTACTTTTCAGGATGTTTTAACTGGGAAGTATGGAGAGGACAGTAAATTAATTTATGATTTAGCTAATCAGGGAGGAGAAATAGTGTCTTTGAGATATGATTTGACTGTACCTTTTGCCAGATACTTAGCAATGAATAAAATAACAAATTTCAAGAGGTATCACATAGGTAAAGTGTACAGAAGAGATGCCCCATCTATGACTAAAGGAAGGTATCGAGAATTTTATCAATGTGTAAGTTTGTTTTGAAATAATGTAGATTTTCTTACTTATCATATTGTATTTAGTATTGAACACCCTTAATGTATGTGAGGAATATTTGTATAACTTTTAGTCAAAAAATATTTACATTAGAGGTTGCAAATTAACGTTTGAGTCAGAAGGGAAAAGTTTGGAACACTGAGCAATCAAAGAAGGATTTAAAATCATTGAAAACTGAGTTATTTTTCAAATGAGACTTAAAGGTGTTTGTCTTTTGTTAAAAACTACCTTTTTTGAAGCATCTTCAAAGAAACTAGTATTTGGTGACATTAATCCCTTTTTTCTTCAAATCAGTTTTCATACTGTTCGGTTGAATCTTGAATGTCTCTTTTTTTTCTTCCTTTACATAAATCTTTATTTGCACTCCCTAGTATAGATAATTTTTTATTTGATTTTTAAAAATAAGTGAGTATTGCAAATAGTCTATTGTGAAACAAAATGTATTTATTTTAAATCTTGTTGGTTAAAATTTCTATTTTATGATTGAGTTGATATTTATTTATAGAAGACAGTTTTTTTAATAACAATTAGATTGCTTTGTGTCCAAATCAGTTATCTAACTGTTCTGCAACTTGAATTATATTGAAATAACTTGAATTATATTTATAATGACTTAAAAAAGCTCTTTCTTTTTTATGTTAAACAAATTGATTTTGTTTGTGGAAAAATCTGTGCAACATGGCAACCAGTTCAGAAAATTATTGTATTCAGCTGTGGTTTTTTTTTTCTCTAAAAGATTAAGACCTGTCTCTAACTAACCAAAACCAGCTATTAACTCATTTATTATTTTTTTATTTTATTTTTAAGCACACTCTATGTTTAATAAGGCATAACAAGTAAGTTAATTTTATGTTGATAGTTTACTGCTGAATTTTCATTCTTTGTGTATTACTTAAAAAGAATTGTTACAAAATCTGGCTGTAGAAATATAGGTTATAAACAAAATTATAAAATATGCTTTTGTTGGATTTTGCCATTGTGTTTAAATTCTTGATAGTTCTGAAATAAGAATTTATTTATAATTCAAGCTATTTTTCCTTCAAAGATATATTAAAACAAATCTAATTTGTGTTGTAAGAATTTAAAACTTAAATTTCATTGTGACAACTGGAGCAAATTTTTGACATTTACGAAAACTTTTTTTTTGTCAAAAATGTTGCCTTTGGGATAATTGTTACATATTAACATATCAATCAGTTATGATTTACCTCTCTTATATGAAACATGTATGTTTATTATCATAGAATTTTTCTTTCTCCATCTCATTTCAGGATTTTGATATTGCTGGGGTATACAGTGAAATGGTACCTGATGCAGAATGTGTTCGAATTATGAAAGAAATTCTAACTGATTTGGATATTGGAGATTTCATGATCAAGGTTTTTCTTCTTTTTTTTCTTCCTTCGTTCAAATTTTTTGTGCCACAATTATTTTTATTTTAGTTTTTTCTTTCTTCTATTGCTTTACATATACCTCATCTTTCTCTAAAATCCAATTGTATAAAACTTCCTATAATCTATTTTATTTTCTGCATTCAATTTCTAAAGATATTTGTACTGAATTCTGCTTGCTTTAATATTTTCCACTTAATTTTAAATTATAATTTTTATGCTCAAATTAAATAAAATAATTTTAAAAATATTTTATATTTTAGCTGTTATTGTTTTCTTTAGATGACTCCAACTACTACAGTAAATATCAGTTGAAAGGTCAGGGAAAACCTTGAATTGTCAGGGAATTTTATTTTAACTCCAAAAATCAGGAAAAGTTGTAATTTTTTTCAAAAACCTGGAATATTCCTATATTATACCTGGAAAATAACCAGTCTTAAAATTGCCAGTAACAGTAATCAGTTATCGAGATTCTAGTTAAATAATTCTAACATCTATTACAATTATCTGTTGTAAAAATTTCACATTTTAGTCAAATTGAAATGTTCTCATTTAATATTTTTTTACATGGAAAATCTAATATTTCACATTACAAATAAGGGAATCAAAGTTTTCTGATGAAAATATGGTCTCAATTTTCATTGAAATTTACCTGGTATACCTAGAAAAGTCAGGTAATTTTTTTTCTGAAATTGAGTGGGAACTCTGAAGGTAGCACCATTGTACATGCCGCTCCCACGCCTATGTGATTATCATCGCCTAGGCCGCACTTCCACTTTTAGTCACTAATAAGGAGAAATCAGGCATTCACATACACACACACAAAAAAAAACATATCAAAGCGAACTCAGAGACTTTTAATAGCTTGTGATTTATATTGGATGTTGCACAATGTAAGTTACTCTATTTTTCAGGTTAATCACAGGAATATACTTGATGGGATGTTTGCTTGTTGTGGTGTTCCTGTTGATAAATTCCGAACTATCTGTTCTTCTGTTGATAAACTAGACAAGGTAATGAAATCTTAATTTTAAATTCACTTAAATCAACAACAACAACAATAAATTGTGAATTTCACTACTAAGAATTTGTTTTAAGAAAAGGTTTTTTCTTATAAAAAGGTTTTTTATTTTATAGTCACCATGGGATGAAGTAAAATCAGAAATGGTGAATGAAAAACACTTGGATGAAAGTGTGGCTGATAAAATTGGTGAATTTGTTAGAAAACATGGTAATTTTATTCATAGAATTAATTTGCATTTAAATAACTTTTTTTTCTTTTATATTGATATGGCTGTAATATTTTCACAGGAGGAGCTGATCTCATAGATGAATTGCTCAGCCATGAAGAGCTTTCTAAAAACAAATCTGCTGTTCAAGGTCTTGAATCAATGAAATTGTTTTTCACCTATTGTGAACTTTATGGTGTCCTAGATAAGGTAAATTGTTTATGGAATTGAAGCTAATCATTCTCCTTTCTTTGTTGATAACAATATATTTTTATTGTTAAATCACTATTTTTTGTCATTTGTGACCCACATGGTCAAAATGTCACAAACTTTTTTATCAAGATCTTTTAAAATGTGTTTTCTTTTTGTAAAGATCTGTGTTATTGTAGTTACTTCTAAATTGCACTATGTTTTCATTAGGTTTTTTTTTAAATTTTTTATTCGCCTCTTGTTCTTTGCAATAGCATGTTGATTAATCAGCTGTGGTTTTATTTTAGGAATGAGTTTCACTTTCTTTAGCATGAAGATCCTCGTCATTCTTTCTTTTTTTTCTTCTTTCTTGTTAATATTGTTTTTAGTGATATGCAAGTCTGAACACAGATTTATCATGTCCTAGAACAAAATTTATTTCTCGTTTCTTCGTCAAAACTCAGTTTTTATTTTCGTGTTTTGTGGAATTTTCGAAAAGGCTTTATTTGAAATTTTAATCCTTATAGATATATATGGGAATTCTCTACAGTTTTCTTTTTAAAAAATGCTTTAGAGACACAAGCTTTTTGTACAAAATTTTAAACAAGTCCTCTGCATTTCTAAACCCTGGGACAATCTTTGCCTTCCCTTCCTTGAGTACTGCTTTGGCTATGTGTTTTTAAATGTTAGTATGTAAGAAGTTGACATAGCCGGACTCTGAACTCTTTCATTGGGAACTGATTTTTGCTTTGTATATGTTCATTTGTTATACTTTTGGATTAGGAATTACCTGATCTATTAGTACATAGTAAATAGTTGTGTATATCTGTGGTCCTGCTAATAAGCCTGGGATTATAAGTTTCTTCCTAAGAGTAAACCTTTCCTGAAGACATAGGTTATTTCCAATCCAACTTCATTAAATGGAAGAAATTGTTTATTAACGAAATATCAAGTATTAAATTAAAATTTAAACATTCTATAATTACAATATAGTTTAAATAATCATTTCTATATATTTTTTTAATCAGTGAAAAAAAATGAAAGCATTGAAAAGAAAGATAATTTTAATGAATTTCTAAAGAAATCAAAACAACTATTGTTTGCTTGTATGTTTTATATGAAGGAGTTCTGTTGACCTTAATTTTATAATTAATAAAAAAAACTTTTGAAATATCCTAATCAAATAATATATTACTGTATACTACAAGTCACACACGTTGTATTCATGTTACAAAAGAGCATACTAATTTTCTACCAAATGTTGTTAAGTACGAGTGCTGAAAACAGTTCTTAAATAGTATGCTAAAGGTATTAATAAGCATTTTTAACACAAATTGTATTTTTACATACTTAATCATAAAATTTATTCATATATTGAAATAAGATATATATTAAAATTGTAATTTATATATTAAACTTAAGAATTTTTAACTCTAATTTTTTGTTTTCTAAGTACTAATTTTTATTTTCAAACCAATAATTATTTTGTAACATTTTATAAAAAATGTATTAAGTGGTAAGTAAAGTTAAAGGTTTATTAATATTTGAACATAAAATTGTATCTGAACTTAAAAGTTTTATTTTGAAAAATAAAACTTGTTAGTTTTTGAGTATAAATGTTATATCTAGAGATTTCCTCCTTCTCATTTCAACAATTTTATAGTTTTTTTTTTAGAATTTGTTAATATTATAAATTCAAACAGTAAAATTGGACTTCTTATTCCTAGGAAATTGTTTTTTACTTTGAACAGCTCTAAAAAGTATTTTTCTCTATTTCTTATAAATCAATCTGCAATAACATTACATTTTGAAACTGATATTTTACGTTTGTGTTATAAGTATAACAATGCTTGGTAACATACAGTAAGTTATTGATGCTCAAAAAAGATTCTGTCAGGAAGATTATATATTTTGTCCAAGATGCGAGAAAATGGAATTTAAATTAAAGAAATTTTTTTATTTATTATGTTTAGGTAAAAATAGTTGTATATTATAATTACAGCTCTTATTATGTCTGTTTAATATAGATGCTTCATGACAAAAAAATATATTTTATTCATAATGTTTATGATAAATATATGTTAAAATTACTTTATTTTATGCTTTCCATTTATCAGTTTGCTTACTATAAATAAAATAAATACATAACAAAATATTTTCCTAACTTAAGTATGTATTAATCATGTGATTCTGACTTGAGCTCAATTTTACATATCTTGTTATGGACAAATTGAACATATTTATGACTGATGTCATTGCAGTTTTTGTCCCATTATCAGTCTTATTTATAGTGGAGAAATTGAAAACAAATTTCCTTTCATTGCTGTCATTATTTTGATTATTGTCATACTCATATTTCTAACTTTTCCACTGTCAATGATATTATTTCGAAATTGTAAAAAAATTATATGAATAAACTTTTTATTGAATTAATTTAATGACTTATCTGTGCCTACTTTCAGATTTCTTTTGATCTTAGCCTTGCTAGAGGACTTGATTACTATACAGGAATAATATTTGAAGCTGTTTTGATTGGTAAGAAATTTTCATCAATGCATTTGGAGAATTTTACAATTTTACTAAAAAACTAAAAGATGATTTTGTGCAGATAAAAAACATTTTGCTAATATGTTGCTGAACTTATAATTATTTCTTTGTGTTTTTTTAATCTGTACCATTTAATAATTTATTAATATATATTTGATTTTTTTCAAACAACAAATGTTAAATCATTAATATATAGAAGCTTTCTTATTTCTATGGCCAATGTATGGGTGTATATTCTTTACTGTGCTGCTCAGAGCAACTAACTATTGACTTAAAAGTCCCTAGTTTCATCCCTGCTGGTTAAATATCTCCCACACTCGCTCACATAAATGTCAATATCTTTCATGATTTATTGACTTTACTTAATTCTCTTTATGCTCGTGTGATGCATTATACTATGAGCTGCTTATCCCGGCACTCCCTCAGCTCTGCCATCTGAAAGCATTTCTTTCTTTCAAGATCATTTCTTACCAGGTTAGATTTGGTTTTCCTCTTTCCATCATGGGCCCAAGTCAGTGCTATTCATGTTGGGTCTGCTTTGTTTTTCCAACTTAGAACATTGTCCTAACATTCCTTGTCCCTATCCTTAGTTTGATTTTTGGGTAGATCAGTATGGTGATTTATTATCACTGTAAATCAATGAGCATTTTTATAGTTGTAGGAAAAATCTTTAACTCTTAGCAAATAGATAGATTAAAAAATTAAGTTATGCAGATGTCTTTATATTATCACTTGAAAATTAAGTCAACAACTACTTGCTCTTTCTACATTATTAAATAATCAAGTAAAGGAGTAAATTTAAAAATTAATATGCCATTAGAATGAATTATTTTTAAATGATAATAAATGCAACAAATGACTGTAAAAGCTTAATTATGACAGTAAAAGTTATCTTCAACAGAGAGCAACAAATCTCAGTAAGTAAGTTATCGCTCACTTTTTACTTCTGCTCAATAAAGTATAATTTATTGTTATTTGAAATATTGAAAATAGCATTTGATATGTTTAATCTAATTTATTTGAAACTGCATAAAAAAAAATTTTTACTTGTTTTTTTATTTTTTTATTTTCCAAACATAGGTCAGACGGTGTTGGATGAAAACAATGAGCCTGTCAGTCTTGGTAGCATAGCTGGTGGTGGTAGATATGATGAACTAGTTGGCATGTTTGATTCAAAGAATAAGAATGTTCCATGTGTTGGAATGAGCATAGGAATCGAACGTATTTTTGCACTTATGGAAGCTAAGCTATCGGTACTGCTGACTTTTTTATAATGTTTAAAAATTATCTCCATTGTTCTTTGTATCTACCATATAAGGTATCTGAAAAACTTTGAAACTGTTAGGTATAAGGAGAAATACACTTTGGTTCGAAAGTTACAAAATACATCTGTGAAATATTTTAAAAGGTTGTATTCAAGTATACCAAACCACCTTTCAGATTAAGTTGAGATTAAGAAAATTTAGTCACTGGATCAAAGGACAAGTAACTAAGAGATATCAAAATTTTATACACATTTTCACTGGTCAGTTTACAAATCTCTATTTGATGTTCTTAATATGACCATGAATGAAAAAATACAAAACAGAGAATATGCAAGACAGGGAAAATTTGATAATTTTAAGTGTAATTGGAAGCCAATTAGTTATAAATATCTGAATAAAGCTTGTTATCTTTAGTTTTTTATTCATGGTGCGTAGCGTTTTTAAAAAGTTCTTAAAGGTGCTGTATAAGAAGTGCATAATTTTCCCTTTTTGAAAGAGCTTTTTCTTTACCATTTTGATTTTAGCTGTGTAAAAAGCAAAAGCGTGGTTTTCATATTGTTCTTTTCAACTTTTTGCAATTAATTCAACCACAATCCATTTCGGCGTGCCGTAGGTCCGTAACGTATAATAGCACCAATCACGTTGCATTTTTGATGAAATACTTGGGAGTGACTACTGAGCTGTGTCCTATGTGATTCTCAATTTCAGGCTTCATTTTCGACCCTCTGAAATCGAACCGAAAAATCTTTATATTTTTATGGTTGCTAATATAATCAAGAAAAGAGTTCTTTGTCAAAAACTAGTTACTTTATCATGATCATATAGAGTCTTAGAAAATTATTTTGCATGCTAATGTATATAGTGTTTAAAGTAGTTTTTGAGTGCTTAAAAAGTACTTTAAAGGTGCTTATTTTTTGTTGAGAGATTTGGCTTCGCACCCTGTCATCACATCATGGTCTAAAGAATGAAGTTTTAATGTCATGTTTGATCGAAAGAAGACAAGCTTGGTGACAACTTTTAGTCATGTTTTAAATTAGTGCCTAAATTACACCACCGATGAAACCCCCTTTTTATCGAAATTCTAATTAACAAGATATCTATGCAACTAAAGCAGAAAACAGAATTCTCTGACAAATTGCATGTTAGTAAAAAAAAAAAAAAAAAAAAGACTTGCACAACTCCATGTATAAGAAGGTTACTTATAATCTTTAATTATCGAAAACTCTATAATATAAAAAAATTTGTTGAAGAATACTATTTTGTGAAAAAGCACAGAACCATAAATCAAAGAGCTAAAACAGCATAACATCTCTACATCAATGGCAGTTTCAAGGGATCGCTAATAATTTATTTTATTATGGTCTGAGTCAAATAACAGTGATCCTGAATCCTCTGACCACCATTATCGGACCCTGTCGGAAGTAACTAGGGGGTTGAGTTGTGTATTCATGATATCCTTATTTAAATCATAAGCCGTAGTCATAATACATTTTTTCCATCATAGATTCATTGCTAGTACAATGATTTTATTAGATATTTTTTTAACTTGATTCTTCAGTTTCTCTTTTAGTTACAGAAGGCAAAAATCATGTATGCTTTGTTAGTTTGTTACCTAGATAATAGTTTGGGGGGCAGGAAATATTAAGTCTCATTATAATCAAAGTAAATATGAATAATAAATTATTTGTTTTTGCCTTGCAGGCAAGTGGTAAGAAAATACGAAGCACAGAAACAGAGGTTTATGTTGCCACAGCTCAAAAGAAATTGGCTCATCATAGAATGAAGCTTTGTCGAGAGCTATGGGATGCTGGAATAAAAGTAAGTTCTGTTTTATTTTGTCATTAAACATCCTAGATAAGAATTTAACTGAAGATGATATTTATATCCCAGTTAAAGCTGCATATGTTTGTTTGCAGAAAAAGAGTAGATATTTTATGTTTCAAGTAAAATTATTTAAAAAAAAAATAATAATTTAACCATGAATTTCATTCCTTATCTCAATTATTCTATTAAAGCATGCTCTAAGTTTAATATGTTTGAAAATGAAATTTAAACTGATTTATAAAATTTTAAAATTAATAGCTAGCCTCAGGAATTTTTTAATTACTAATTTTTATATTTTGTATGTTATAAAATTTGTTACATTTATAAACAAGTTGAGACATTTTACAGTGCTTTCACCCTAGAACAACTTTTTTTTTATTCAGTACTTTTCTTGCAATAAAACTCATGTGACTTTATTTTCTTAAATGTATCTGCTTATGTTAATTTTTTTCCCTTGCTTTCTTGTATAAAGTAACATTTAATAGGTAATATGCGCTCGACCATAAATTGTCCATTAACAGTTTTCTGTTTTATGACAACATTCTTTGAAGGAAGTTTTAATTTGTTTTATATTGTTTTCTTCTAGGCCGAACAATCATACAAATTAAATCCAAAGCTTTTAGATCAACTTCAATATTGTGAAGCTCGTGGCATTCCTATTGCTGTGATACTTGGTGAATCAGAAATTCAAAACTCTGTTGTAAAGATTAGATTTGTTGAATCAAGGGAGGAGGTAGGTTTTTTGTTACAGTTGAATAATTCAAGATCAATTGAACTAGAAAAAAATTTGAAACACATATAGTCTCTCACACAGAAGAGATAAATAAAAAAGATTTACTCTATTTAATTAGACTGACTCCACACATATTCTTCCTATAGCTATTATGCTATACATTTTCTCTATTAAATCATTGTTTACTAGCTTAATTACATATAACATTTAAATCAATTTCTTATTAGTACATTTTCTACTTCATTAATCAGCATTATCTTTTCAGTTAAGGTTTTGACTTAAAGGAGCTTTAGTTTTTGACCCGACTTAAGAGTATAAAAACAATACTTATTTGACTCCAATTATATTTTTTCCATTACTAGATATTGCGTTTGAACAAGATACTAATTATTGGTATTTATGTATGCTTTCACTTGTGTTTGTGTGCAGAGTAGACAACATATGTTCTGATGTTATTTCATACTGCCTATGTTTTTAAAGATCAATAAAAACTGATATGTCTTGAGGGAAAGCTACCAGACTCTCCCTTTAACTTAGGTTTGGTATCAACAGTGAATGAGTTCGATATTTTTTTTCTTTTTAATATTCTTTCATAACTTATAATTTCACCTGAAACATTTAATTTGCAAATATATTCTGACTTATGGGTTTTATTTATAAACTTTTCACTTAGCTGGAAATTGCTGATTCTGGGCTGGTTGATTTTCTACTGAAAAGGAGATGGATATCAGTGAATTATCCGGATGGATACTATCCGAATAGAACTCTAGACTAGTAATTACAAATAGTTGCCACTTGCTACCAGAGACAAAAAATGGTATCCACTTTTGCTCATTTGCTAACCACTTTCAGAGAAGTGTACGCACAGCATTAGATTATTGATTTAATAAATTCTTTTGGCAAAAAATAGATTTATTTCATTTGAAAGAATTTATTTGATTTAAATCAATTTTTATTAAAATCATTTTTTTTATAAGGAATTATGTTAAGGAATTTTTTAAAAAAAAAAAAATTTTTTTTAATTTGTCACAATATGCGTAATGAATCTAAGACAAGTCTTTGTTGCTTGTTGTAAGGAATTAATCTAAAATGTTTTAATTGCTTGTTAGCAACTTAAATTTAATGCAATAAATATGTACTTTCAGTTTTCAGTGTCCTTTACCTTAAAATTTGCATTAGAAATTAAATTATGCTTTTTTTAAGGCTGAATTTGAGTTTTTATAGAATAAAAGCAAATTTAATGATGATAAAATAGATTTATTCAAAAAATTATTGAAATGAATCAGTGATTAGAATCAGTTGATTAGAATTATTGCAACCCTTTGCTGTGCAAAAACTCTCTGTGTGGCAAACAGGGGTAAAAGTTGCAAAATTTCTCAAGACTAAATCTTTTTATTTTTTTAAAAAAGAGACGTGTTCCCCAAGTAAGTAAAAAAAAAAAAAAAATTATGTTGTGCATTATAAAACCAATTTTTCTATTCAATAATTTTTCTTGTAATTGTCTTGAAAAAATTTTCTTGTAAAACTTGCTCAAGGAAATCAAAATCTATTGAGATTATGTAGTAAAATTTTTACACATAATTTCACTTTATTTGAAAATCTTTAAGTTTCCATCATAAGATTGTTAAGGATTGCCTAATAATTATAAATTGAATTTAATTAAATATCAAATTTATTTGAAATTTATGCAGATATAATTTGTGAGATATAATGGTATTGAAAAAAAAAATCTTAAAAATTTACAGCAATAAGTAGCAGTGCAATTGCTAAAAAAAAAGAATCGAATAGGCCACATGACTTTAAAATATAATCGAATGGGGTGTTTTAAAACTGTGTAAAAATCTGTTGTATTACTTCACAAAAAAAAAGACGAGTGACAATACTATAAATTAACCATGGAATCATCGCTACTCAAATCCATTAAAAGGTTATTACTTTTAATAGCAGGACTTGATTTCATCTTTTTGTAAAACCCTATCATAAAACATTGTAATTGCTTTGTTCACTTCTGGCTTTGAACAGGGCATTGATTTACGAAGTGATCAGAGCAAATTGATCATATTTTATTGCTTTAAATTAGGTCTGTCACATAGTCACCAATTTTAGTGACTAGGGTTTGATTTTTTGGTAGCCATTACCTACGCCAATGTTCGCAACTAGTGACCGCTAGTCTAGAGCTCTATTTCCAGATCCTTTCTTTTGACCTAAATTTAATATCAACACAACAGTTAATGGGGTCAATATTTTGTTTTCTTTTTAATATTCTTCTATAACTATTTATTTCAGCCAAATCATTTCATATATGAAATTTTAGTTCTGACTAATAGATTTTGTTTGTTAACTTTTTACTTAGCTGGAAATTGCCCAATCTGAGCTGGTTGATTTTCTAAAGAAAAGGAGATTCACATCAACTTAACTAATCATAATGCGGAACTTCTTAACTAAGGCAATAAAGTGCTTCTCCATGAATGGCTTGTGAAAGTTATTTTTCAAGTGACTCACTGATCGAAAATAATCTATCATTCGTATTTATTATTTATTTATACTTTCTATTTTAATGATGTGTATATAATTATAAAAGGGAAACAAATTTTATTATGTGCCTAAATGTTCCTTGGTCTAATTAAATTTTATGTTGTGAATTTTAATTTTTTGTAACAATTTTAAAACTGCTATGGTAATGTCCAAATGTTATGTTTCTATTAAATTTTTTGAAAAACGTCTGTTAATTCTACAATATAAATTAAATAGTTAAAAAGTTACTAAATAAAAGTTACATCATTAAAGTTACTAAATAAAAAGTTTTAATGTATGATTTTTTTCAAAGATTTTATGCAGAGAATTTATGTATATTTCTTAGAACTTTAAAATAATATTCAATGGAAATGAAATTTGTGCAAATAACCATTTGTACTTCTATTTGAATTAAATAAAGCAAAAATATACATTTTAATTTATACAGCATTGTAAAACTTTTATTTTTGTACTGCAGCTTCATCACTGTATTTTTTTTTAAGTTTTGAATTTTTTTACTAATTACGAATTATTTCTATCGCAAAAATAAAATCAACAAATTTACTTTTATGTGCCTCATTTTTTAAAAAAAAATATTTGAGTGTTTTAAATTATTACTTTTTATATTAGGTGTCTGTATGCAAATCTATTTTATGTTAATGAGCCAAAAACAATTGCCGACAAAATATTTTATTTAAACCCTAATTTTACTTCCTACTTTTTTTTTTTATTCATTCTCTGATTTAGGTGAATTCATTCTATTGAAACCCTGATTTAGGTGTACAAATCTTTACCAAAGATTATGTTTAAGTACTCTTTTGACTTTCTTTTACAAAATGACCAAAAATAAAAATTTTGTAGCTTTCATTTATTTTAAAATAGCTTTTCTTATTGTCAAATTGTATGAACATTCTTAAAAGCATCTGTATTTTATCTGTACCAACATATAGAAATAATAAAAAATGCATTTGTAAAAAGTGTTTGACTATTTCTTTCTGTGTTTACATTACTTAGCGAAGCTGATTTTTCTAGCATTCAAACATAGTTTGAAATGCTTTACTGCACCTAATTTTTTTAATATTCAAACATTGCTTGTTTTAAATTTGGTTCTTATTTTAAAAAAGCTGAGTAGTTTTAAGTTTGGTTTTTTTCCCCCGTCTAATTGCTCAGGTGTCTGAAAAATTATATGCTAAATACATTTGAATGTAGGTGAATGTTTCTCATAAGCAATACATCAATTTAATATACAGTTCGCAATATAAAAAAGTGAATATCCTGAATAACTTCTGTGCTGTGTTATGCACAACTGCTTATGAATAACTGCTGTGTTATGCAATTATGATTTTATTTCCTTGAATATAAAATATGCTTTTTTTTTTCAAAATAAATATTTTCCCATAAAAATCTTAATATTTTAATATTAAAAGTAATTTAATATTTGAATATTAAAAGAGGAGGTTTGTATCATAATAAAAGATATAATAATTGTTACAAAATTCATAAAATGAAAATATACGTTTTTGAAATAACTTGGAGAATCTATTCAAATAGTTTCAAAATAAACTATTAAGCATATTAAGATCTACATAAAAAGTAACAAAAATAATAATAAAATTAACTTGAAGAAAAAATTTTGTTTATTATCGAGATTTTATTTTACACTGCTGTGTCACGCAATTCTGATTTTACTTCCTTGAATATAAAATATACTTTTGTTTTAAAAATAAATATTTTCCCTTAAAAATCTTAGTATTTTAACGCCTGACCCTTACAAAAAAATCGAGGTATAAAGGAGATTGTTATTTAAATACGTCTTTAGGTTGAACAGGGCGCAAATGAGGTTTCCAGAGGTTTATATGCATCAACCTGAGGTGTTTATTTTTACATCTGTGGAGAGGTAGATATTTACCACTTTAAAGTGTTTAATTTTCAACCTCAGGTTATTACTTATTGACCTGAAGTAAATTTTTAACACTTGTGGAAGTATTTATCAACCTAAGGTGTTTCATTTAACACTTCAGGTTATTATAAATCTTCCTCAGGTGTATTTTTTGACATTTGGATAGGTAATTTTTTACTTACTTGAGGTGTATTATGTTCGACCTCAGGTATCTAATTTTGTGCTTGTAGAGTTTTTATTTATCAACCTATCATTAACCATTTTATACTTCAGGTTATTATTAATCAACCTCAAATGTATTTTTCGACCGTTGGATAGCTTGATTTTTATGAACGTGAGGTGTTTGATGTCCTACTTTAGGTTATTATTTTTCAACCTCAAGTATAGATTTATATAGTTGTTGATGTATTTATTTATCTACTTAAGGTGTGTGTGCCATTTTACACTTCTGGTTATTATAAATCAACCTCGTGTATTTTTTGACACTTGGAAAGGTTATTTTTTGTAACCTCAAGTATGTATTTTTAGAAGTATTAATTTATCAGCCTAAGATGTTACATTTTACACTTCAGGCTTATATAGTTCAACCTAAAGTTGTTTTTTTTAATACTTACGAAAATAATAATTCCCAAACGGGAATTTATACGGTCCACCTAGTTTATTAGTTTTTCGCCTGACTATATAAAGAATGTAATATATATAAAAATATTAAATAGATTATATGAAAAATAATGTATATCATTACATTTTTTTCGGTAGTTGAGATCTTCATTTATCAATCTGAAGTTTATAATATTAAACTATCGGCAGTAATTGCTTTTTTTGTTAAGCTATAAAGAAAGTTTCAAATACATAATTCTTCTGCAATTTTAATATATTGAATTAAATCATCTTAAAATGACGCTTATCCAAATTCAACAGTTAAAAAATTTATTTGAGGGAACTTATATTTTTAGAAGATAGTTGTCTAAGGTGCTTGAATTTTTAAGGTTATTAAACTGCAAATTTAGATAATTAGTCAGCTGAAATTTAAGTTACTTTTATTTAAAGCTAAAATTTCTTTTTTTTTTACAAACCAACAAAATTGTTTTAAATATTGATTAAAAATAAATAGATTATAGTCTACCTGTTGAAACTCGGAATTATTGGAACCTAAAAGAAAAAAAATATGAATTAGTAAGAAAGTCATATTTACAATAATAATGGCAGGTTTTAAAATATTAGAAATTGTTTTTTTTTCATGATTTAAATTAATCATGATGAAATTAATTTCCTTTTTCAGATAAATGGCATTCCACTTCTGCCATTTCTATCCAATCCTCGTAGCTAAAAAGCGTGTCAGGTACCACAGCCACAAAATACACTGAAGAAAGTACTACCATTAACAACATTTATGGAAATTCAAATATATAATTCCAATCTTATTGTGAAATTTTAACACTTTTTATTTTCCTATACATCTGGTATCATTATGGTACTTGAAGTTTGACAGTTAGATTTTCTTTCTTTTTTCTTACAAATTTTAAACTCAATAAACTTAGCCTATATTTTTAAACTTTTTGTCAGACTTCATGAAACTAATAGCTTTTTTATAAGTTTTTAATTCTGATTCTGAAAAGGACTTCCGTTATTGTCAATCACATCAGAGTTTCTTAAAAAATAGAATCAAGAATCAGCAATCATTTAATAAATTAAAATTTTAAAGTTATGTACCAATTTTAATGCATTTTTTACTCTGAATCGAATAAAACTAATCACAAGCTGATACGGAGCATTTGTTTTAAAGTTGCGAGGAAAATATCTCCTATATAACTTATAATACCGAGCAAAATAAAAATAATTGCTAGTTGCTACAAACATTTGTTTAAATATAAAAACATCCCATTGGATTAAATTCAAAAAAATGCATATAACTTTCAAACAATAAATGCTTTTATTTATAATTGATTTTTATTAAATTCAGCATTAAAATTGCATAAGAAACAATGCTGACTTATTTCTAAAAAATTTGAGATTTCCGAAATTCGCTAATTTTTGAAGAAGAACCATAAACAGCAACATAAAAATGCTCATAACCTTGAAACAAATTGTCATATAAACTTGAAATCGGGTTTTATTTAATTCAGCTTAATATTCTGATAAGTAATAACAATCTGCTTAGTGTTTAGTAAATAATTAACATGGGTAAATTGCGAAAAAACAACATGTAGTGAAAAATATCAGTTCTATGATCAAACATGAAAAAGGGATCTAGTACAGTTACTAGTAGTATCAAGGAACTACTTGCGGAAAAGCTCTGTAAATGTAAATATATATATATATATATATTACAAAAAGGAATCGCATGTTAATCAGATTTAAAAAATGCAGTGTTATTATGCATAGTTTTACTCATAAACAACAATATAAACTTTGCATACAGATATCCAAGCAAATGATCAGCATACAGTTGTAGTAGAATTTCGAAGCAAAATTGCTATTTTAAAATCTTTCAATTATTTATTTATAACAGAAATTATGAACATTTTATTCAATTAATCAGCTTGCATACTGCTACGTTTAAAAAAATACATTTAAGCAAAATAAAAAGAAAAGTTATTTTTGATTAAATAGCAAACAATAAAATATAATGCGCAAAACCTTCTGTAACAATTTACTAGTAAAGTTACCCTAAACAGCGACGAGAAATATTCCGATTGTTCCCTCTCATTACTAAGTCTTCAACAATAGCCTCTAAGAATATCATCAGACTTAAATTATTTAAGATCAGAATGCGTCTTTACCAGAAAAATAATGAAATTTAAGTTTGAAAATTAAAGCATATTTGATTAAAATTGATAAAACTAAATTAATAAATGTCAAACACACTTATCGAATTTCGCATAGACTTTCTATTGTCAACACACACGCCTTTCGACGGCTCGCACGGAACTCTGGGAAGTGAGCTAGTTAATATGAAGTGTACTTTAAACAACCTTAAAATAAGCTTAGGTATAACTAAAATGTGTGACTTCATACACCTCAATAAATACCTGACTCTCTTTAGTTGCAATAACGTGAAATTTTTATACCTCATAAATACCTCTTTTGCTTCAAGTATCAGAAAAACAATCTTGTATACCTTAGAATTCAACTTATCAGTTTGGTTGATATGAATTGAATTTAAAACAGCCTCAAAATAAGCTTAGGTATAAATAAAATGACTTCATACACCTCAATAAATACCTCACTCTCCTTAGTTGAAATAAAGTCATTTTTATATTCCTTATAAATATCTCTTTTGTTACAAGTGTCAGAAAAACAACTTGGTATACCTTAAAAATCACCTTATCAGTCTGGTTGAGAAGAAGTGAATTTAAAACTACCTCAAAATGAGCTTAGGTATAAATAAAATGACTTCATACAACTCAATAAATACCTCACTCTCTTTAGTTGAAATAAGGTAAATTTTTTTATACCTCACAAATACCTTTTTTGCTATAAGTATCAGAAAAACAAACTGTATACTTTGAAAAGCACATCATCAGCCTAGTTGATTTGAAGTGAATTTTAAACAACTTCAAAATGATCTGAAATGTATACAAAAAAATCTCGTACACCCGAATTACAACCTTTAGGAGGTATAATTTTTATGGATGTTTTCTGAACAACCTCGAATATACCTCAAAACAACCTCGATACCTCAAATATACCTTAAAGTTTCGTTAGGGGATCGTTAAACAATTGTATAGACCAGAAAAGATTGTATGAACATTCATATAAACTTATAACATTCATACTGTTCATAAAGACCATAACGTCTATAAATATTTGCATAAACAATAACATAGACATAGACCAAGTTTGAGCCGGAGTCTTATAGAAAAATTTGACTTAGTTGGGTTGCTAAAGCTTTTGAAAAAAAAATTCTACATTTTTTTTCTTCAAATTCTTGTATTAGTTATTTTTTTTAATTTTTATTTTAATTGTGTTCCAATGATCAATTAGTTACAGAGTTATTCTAAGTATAGATTTATAAGACTGAATTCTGAAACAGGTATTTTAGAGCAAAAAGTATATAAATGGTGAAATATAATG